TGAGTAATACCACCAATTTCAACTGGCTAGTAACTCTAAACAAAATAGAGAAAAAACTCAAGTTTCTGGAACTACGCACTTTGTCACTTAGGGGAAAGACTATGCTGATAAATACGTTAGCAATGTCAAAAGTGTGGTTTCTGGCAAACGTGCTGCCCGTTCCCTAATGGATATTAGAACTTTTTTTTTTTTTTTTAGGTGTAATTTATTTCGCCGTCAAAAAATGTTTACATTGCATATACATATATCAAAATTAATGGCAGGAGCAAGAAGAAGACACAGTTTTCCTTATTGCCGAGCCCCAGTTTGCACAGTGCCATATTTGAAAATCTGTGGGAAAAGACCAATTACAATCTGGTCAAAAGAGAGACACTTTTCTTACCCGTCAAAAACGGGGATCTCGGAATTTTATCACGGAAGGAGCAAAGCCTTGCACTTCGCCTCAAAACACTCTTTCAACTGAAAGAATTCAGATAACACTCACAATTACTAATAACAGGTTAACACCCAAAATTACTACTACTTTTCAAAGTACTGGTTAGCAAGTTCACTTATAAAGTTTACGAACCAAAACCAACAATTGAAACAGGCAAAAACGGGTCCCTTTTTAACATCCTTTAAAAACAAAAAAAAAAATTTATTTAGAAGTGGCAAAAAAACAAAAAAAACAGTCGTGCCAGCAGAACTTTTCTGGAACGGTTCAACAAAAACAACAATGCCGTGGGCCCAAAATTGGAAAAAAAACTTCACCTCCCACGCATACGGACCGACACAAAATATCCTTTTTCGATTTCTACACAACAGTCTATCTTTTGCGGCCTTGCTAGGCAAAAGCACAAGGCAACAGTTTGTAAAAAACAACAAACATGAAACTAAGCATATAAGCTAATTTAATACACTGGCTCAAAATTCAGAACTGATTGTTTAGTTAAGACCTCCTGTTCTCTGCAAAGCCTTTTTTACAACATAAATATTGTTATTTATAATTAAAAAATCACTGCCAGCCCTTATTTTATGAAATATTATTTTAACATATTGGTGTTATACGTAAAAATTTTAAAGTGCCATTTGTGTAAAAGTACTGTAAATTACCTTATTACCTATTTATTTTTTCCTTAATATAGTCTTTCTTTTCAAAATACTCTAATCTAATATTGAACATTATCTTATAATACATTAAATTTTTTTTTTACCTTACCAAATTTTTGACATCTCTTCGCACAACGACTAAAAATTAAAAAAAAATACAAAAAAATATATAACCAAAAAATATAAAATAAAAAAAACAAAACATAAAAAATATGAAATTTAAAAACACAAAAACAAAATGTATATAAATAAAAATATAAATAAAATGTAAATAAATAAAAACACTTGTAAACAAACTATATAATATATGCAAAAAAGCATCTGTAAAACTTGATTGTATTTGTAACTAGAGATATAAAATTTTAAAATTGTATATAATATATTGTTTTATATAAAAGAAAAAAAAAAAATGTTTAGTATATTTGTTTTTCTTATATTCCTTATGATAATTTTGTTTTTTATAGTGTTTTTTTTTTGGTTACGTAAAGACAAACTGATAGGATATAATAATTCAACAGATGATAAACTAAAGAAATAAATATGAATTCTTCAGGCAATCGAAGTGTGATGTTTGTTCTTATATAGTGTGTTTTTTGTGGGATAAACATTAAAGCCACATATGAAACGCACCAACTCCATCCCATAAAGGAGAGTGGTAAATATATGGCTAACATGTGCTTCACACACGTGGGACACACGAAAGTTTCACGCAGAAAAGAAACGTGGCGTTCTTATTTAGTGTGGTTTTAATGGGGAAGGTTTAAAAGGTTTTAATAAACATTATAGCCACATATAGGACGCATCAACACCATCTCATAAAAAAAGTGGTAAGTATATGGTTAGCATGCAAATGCCATACATGGCCCACATTAAAATTTTTCGTCAGATTGCGACATTTCAATCAGATATTATTGTTCAAGTGCATGAGTAACACAAAATACCAATAAGCCAAGTCAGATTTTGACACATTTCACTCAGCAGATTTTTAAGGACCATAGGTAAATTAATTCTCTCTTTTTTTATTGCTAAAGACATATGTATTGATGGACAAAACATATGTCGCTTATCTGCATTTAAAAACTCTATAGAATGGTAAAGGATAGCAAATCTGCGCTCTTTCATTAAATAAATTTTTTTCATCATTAGTACAGTTTTATTCTAGACTCTTTCAAATGGCAAGTCCATAATAATTAATTGTAAATTGAAGGAATTGCTTGTCAATTTTGAATGTTTTTTTACCTATTAGAGTAAAGTTGTATTTATACGTACCAGTGTCTTAAGGTGTAATGCCAAACTGCTATTTGTGCCTCATGGGGTTTTGAGTAAATAATTTTTTTTTGGAGAAAAATGTATTTCTATCTGCAAGACTCATTTTAAATTAGTTTATTTTGATAAACTGATTGCTAAAATACATCAATAGCCTCTGATGGTAACATTGCTCCAGATGACTTTTTATAAGTAGTTTAACAATTTTGTGCAACTTCCAATATGTGTATTCTATTGTCCATTTGTTTTTACAATGCTAAATACTGTTTACGTTGCTTTGACAAAACAGTAGCATCCAAACAATTTCTTTTGCTTACTGCTGTCATTACACCATTCAACAAGAATGCTAGTTTAAGCCGCTAGTTAAACAAAGAGTCATTAAAAAATCTAGGCAAGAAAAATTTATGAAAAAAAATGTATCGTGTCCTAATGAACACAATATCAACTTAGGTTAAGAAAACAAATTATTGAACTCCAAGGAAAAAAATGGCACAAAATCTTGACGAAAAACACTTCCAACTGGTAATTTTGAAAACGTAGACAAGACCATATGTGCAAGGTTCATCGATGAAAAAAAAAATTAAAAAAATTAACGAGTACTAATCAAAGGCATCATACTGAAAAAAAAGCACTAAAGTTCATAAAAGGATTGAGAGTGTTGGAGTTTAAAGCATCTGGTTGTTGCTTTAAAAGTTAAAAAAGAAAAAACAATTCTATTTTGTCAAACTGCTGATAATGCTAATAATTTTGGCCAATTTTACAAGAGAAACCGGGGAGAAATAGTAAAATCAAAATAATTTGCATTGCAGCAAAGAAAACATTGCAACCGGAGAATTACTACTTATGTTTTTTATCGGCAAATCTAAAACCTTATGTTGTTTTAAAAAAATCAAAATACTCCCTTTCACATATCGAAGTCAGCTAAAAAATTGGAAGACCGGAAACTGTAGGTAATGAAGCTGGACTATTTTTTTTGTGCTCAGGACCATAAAGTAGCACTCCTGGTAAATAATTATCTATTCCACCTCATATTTAAGGACTAAGCAACAGCAACCTGATATTTCTTTCACATAACACCCATGTATCAAGACATAAAAAGGTCTTACAGCACATTACCGTCGCAAGATGGTACACCTGTGCATCAAGGCCATTGATATTAACAATTTCCTGCAAAAAAAATTATCATTCAAGAAAAGAATAATTGTATTTCTTCTTGGAATTCAGTATAAAAAAAATACTGTCATCAATTGTATTACAAAATCTGGTATCAGCAAAACAATTCATTTTGTTTCGTTCAAATATTCGACAAAAAAGCTTGAACGTTTACACAACTTAGATCTTACTACCATCCAAGCAGAGCTGCTAGCAGAATCTTACATTGGTTTATATTGCAATGTAGTAACCACTTGTTTACCAGCTACTGATGCTGAATGATTGAAAAAGAAAGTATTAGTCATTCAGAAGTCTTGTCAAAAAAGTGGTAGCGGTGTAGTGGAAGAGTGCTCGCCTCATAAGAAAGAAGTTCCGAGTTCAATCCCCAAAATGTCCCTGGTAGTACAGCACTCAACTTGTTTCTCCGCGCAACGGCCTTGTTTGTAAAGGTTCGTGTATTGGAGTTACAGAGTTGTGTGTGGGTTATAACCACAACTAAAGGAGCCTCCTTGACTGTAGTGGTATTGATAACTTTGCGGAGGTGAATTTAAATCAGAAAAATAAATAAATAGCAAGCAAATAAACATTTGGCAAAAACTCCGACTTGGTATGCTACTGGTTAGAATAAAGTATATATATATATATATATATATATATATATATATATATATATATATATATATATATATATATATATATATATATATATATATATATATATTTTCGCGTCACGCTAAGGAAGGAGGCGTGAACTTTCTGGTTAAATTCACATCCGCAGTGCTCTGTGACAAGACCGTTAGGTCTTCTTGGGGCACCTAAATAACAATTAAATATATATATATATATATATATATATATATATATATATATATATATATATATATATATATATATATATATATATATATATATATATATATATATACATACATATATATATATATATATATATATATATATATATATATATATATATATATATATATATATATATATATATATATATATATATATATATATATATATATATATATATATATATATATATATATATATATATATATATATAATATATATATATAAGATAGAGATGGTGTTTTAAACTCATTCACAGATGCACTAATTCACAGATGCACTAATAAACAATAGAATGCTTACCATACTTTTGAGTTTTCTAAGATAAAAAATTAAACTTTTTATTATTTATATTTCTAGTATTGTATACATTTGTATTGAAGATAATAAATTTTTATTTATAAAGTCAAAAATATAAACGAAATTAGCAACTTTAACTTCTGAGGCTAAATATGAACTTTAGGATTAAATATTTTATATAGTTTTTTCAGTTAAAGAAAATGTATTGATTTTATTACTAAACCATTATGTGTTTAATTAAATTTAATATAACCCGGAAACTTTGCCCAAAATTGAGAGATTTTAAAAATACAATAAGCTCTTTTTAAGCTATACTCTAAAACTTTAATACGAATCATATGTCAAAACAACGCTGTTGTGATTCGCTGAATCATTGAGCAAAACATTTCCTCTAATAACGATTATAATAAAAAACAAGTTAACTTTGATACCCCAAGTACTAACATAAGAAGTTCCAGTGCGAAAAAAAATGGTTTTAGAATCTACTATAGTATGGTAATTACGAGCTTTTTTGTTAGGATTTATTATCAACTTGTTTATTTTGATTTTAATTTTACATTATTTTAAGTATAGAAGTTTTTAGTGCAAAAAAAAAGTTTAAGAATATATTATGCCATAGTAGATTTTAAGACTTTTTTGCACTAAAAACTTCTATACATAAAATAACGTAAAATTAAAAATACCATAGTCTATGGTATGGTAATAAAAAGTATTTTAATTAGGATTAATTTTTTTTATTTTAATTTGAACATTAATTAAAAATAATGTTTTAAAATTTTTTTACTTCAACTGCCTAAAAGGAAAATTTAATATATTTATATATATTTTTTCATTTTCTGACATTTTATACTTTGACAATTTTAAAACTTACTAAAATATTAAATATTATGAAAACTCCTCCATATAATTTATAAGTTTTACCATTATTTTTATATTTAATAACTTTTCAAAATAGTTTATTAAATTACTTATAACTTAAAAGTATGCCATCATTGCAAGTTAAGCATAAGATACTAATAGTCTTTGTATATAGATTTTCGTGTTGCTTTTTTTTTTCAAAATTTAGCTTTTTTTTTTTTAATTTTTTTTTTCAAAATTTATATTCACATTATTGAATATCTTTTTTTTTCACTAATTTTATAAATGAAAAGAATTTATACTTGGACTCTCAGTTGGTCTCTATAAGCATGACTGAAAGTAACTAGTTAATTTATGTTGGTTGCTCGCTGACAGTTTAAGTTGCTTGTTGCTATTTTTTATAAAAATTATTGCATTCAGCTGAGTTCTCGCTTATTCTAGTCATTTTTTTTTAGAGGGCTGAGTGTAAACTAGAAATAATTTGCGTAATCAAAAGAAATATTGTAAAATTCTGATAAAGTTATTAATAGTATTAGTTTATCACTTTTCTATTTTCAAATAAAACAGGGTGTATACAAATACTATACTGGGCTACACCGGACCACATCGGAGTATAAATAACAATCTTAGTAGAGTGAAATATTCTTATATTAAATAAATGTATTATATTATATTCGTAATACATAAATGCTATAAAAATTTATACATTAAAAAAATTTGAAAAATTTAAATTTTTATAACAATTTTAATTGAGCACCCACAGGTAAAAATATAAATTTTATTCAGAATTTTATAGCATACGTGTCAGGTTTGGTCGTGAAGTGGGAGCGATTGCTCTCTTCCCAAATACAGTCGACGCTGTCGAAAATGGTCTAGAATAGCCCCTGATATATATCAACCCTCGGAATTAGGAAAAATGCTGACCCTAATTCCGAGGGTTGATATATATATATATATATATATACATATATATATATATATATATATATATATATATATATATATATATATATATATATATATATATATATATATATATATATATATACATATATATTTATATATGCACAGTTCATTAAAATGAAAACCAGAAAATTTTGCACAAAATAAAAATTATTGTAACTTAGTTGCCCAGTTTAAATTGGATTTTCTTTTCCTTTTTTTTTTTTTTTTTTAAACAAAAACCAATGTAAGGCCAAGAATAATTATCAAAAGTGCTGTTCAAGCTATTGGTCAATATATTCCTCATAATTTTTTTTTATGTCCATAAGAACTATAGCAATAAAATTATTTTAAAATGGTATTGAGGTATTTCACGTTACCGTTTAAAATCATTTTATTACCTCAGAATATTTTTTTCTCAGTGCAGCAGCTTTTTTTGTCAAGGTTCGTATTATAGAGTTAAGAGAGGGTTTTAAACAGGAGTGTGGAGTCGTAAAAAATAAGTAATGACTCCGACTCCAGTTGTTGAAATTTTTTGAGTACAACTCCGACTCCGACTCTAGTTGTTGAAATTTTTTGAGTACCACTCCGACTCCGACTCCAGTTGATGAAATTTTTTGAGTACTTTTTTACTCCGACTCCAACTCCGACTACTACTCTAAAGCTAAATATTTGAAAAATTCTTTGAGTTCTTTAAAAAACATTACGCAATAAGATAAAAAATTTTTTTTTGACAAATTTATGAAACGTTCTTTGAGGTTTAGTATGAACATAAGGTTAGTTGCATGTTTTGTACATGCACGTACAATACCGAGTAGTTTTAGTATTGGAGTCGGAGTCACGATTTTGTTTGGCGACTCCGACTCCGCTAAAAATGTTGCAACTCCGACTCCGACTCCACAGCGCTGGTTTTAAAACTAAAAGTATCCTACTTGACTGTAGTGGAGATGAATTAAAATACAATACATGAATTAAAATACAATACATGAATTAAAAAATTGAATTAAAATACATGAATTAAAATGACTGTAGTGGAGATGAATTAAAATACAAAAAACAAAAAACCCCTCAATAATCTTCTCTATAAAACCCCTATTACATAAACATTTTCAAGACAGGATTATTTTTGATAATTCTTAAAATGTCTGCATTCTATTACAATAAGAAAATATAAATCTTTTTAAAAACAGTAAAAACAACGCACGTCTAAAGAATTTTTTCATGCTGCAATAAATGACACTTATATATATATATATATATATATATATATATATATATATATATATATATATATATATATATATATATATATATATATATTCTTGTAATATTAATTTAACAAATGTATGTTTGATGTGGCTCGACTAATCTATGAAAAAGAACAAAAAAATGATTTCTATATTTTTGCATATATACCTCTTGGCGCTTGCTTAAGATTTTTAAAAACACACGCATTACTTCAGCAATTTTATTTTCCAAATAATTTTGCGATTAATAGTTTTTTATTTATTATAAAGAACACATATTTATGATAAAAAACAATAAGTTACTAAAATTTAAAACACATTTTAAAGGCTTTAAAAGAAACCATGCTAAAACCTGATTATGTCTTTCAATAGCGTTACTATTAAGTAAAATAACTAAGTACACTACTAAAGATAGTAACTATGTTTTAGTATGGTTTTTTGCATACGTTAATAAAAGCATCCAAAATTTTATTTAAAATGAATGCATTTGAAATTGATTTAAAAGAAACCATGTTTAACACGTTCACGCCGGCGTGTACCACCGGTGGTACACACTAGACTGTCTCATTGGGCAGCGTGTACCACTGGTGGTACACGCCGGCGTGAACGTGTTAAACATGATTTCTTTTTTCTATAGTGTGCTTCTTTTTTTTTTAATTTTCTTATTTTTCTCAAAGTGAAGTAATGTTTACTTGCATATTAAAAACACTTTTAAATTGTTGAAAAGAATATTTAAGTTTTGCTGAAATATACACAATCTAATAGAATATATAGAATTAATATGTTTATAGTTTTTATTTTTTATTGTAATAAAATGATATTTATATTAACTACTTAACATGATATTATTTTTAAAACTTTTAAACAAGAAATGTCAAAACAACTTTTTATTTTATCTTTAGCTCCTTTTATTTTAATTTCTTCAAATTTGTATGTTATTTGTAAATAAATTTAACAAACTTAATTGAGAAAAATTCATTATTTAGTATCAATGAATAACAATTTAGAATCGTTAGGTCAATTTAGAATCTTTATCAATTACAATTTAGAATCATTAGGTATTATTTCATTTAATTCACTAACTAACAAATCATCACTGAGACAAGAACCTTGAACCCTTTGTTTTCTAGTCTGAAGCAGAATCAACTCAGCCTCGCTAACATAAGTAGTTGTGAGAAAATTATATTTATAAAATAATATTTTTGCATATATATATATATCGAAAGAATAGCTATTTAAAATTAAGATCATGGTTAGAATAGCAGTTATACAATTTTACATGGAACTATTGGGGTGAAGAAAAAACATTAAACAGACTGAAAAGTACTAATTAATTAATTCAAAGAAGCTAAGTAAATTATAGGCATTATTATATTTAAAATCATTTTTTAAAATTTTATTGGGGGGGGGGGGGGAAGGGTGACAAAATTGTTGCATAATGTGGAGGAAAGGTTTTAATAAAATATTACAATTCATTACGAAGGAGGGAGGGGGGTTTATCAAAAAATGTTTTATTTTTAAATTTATTTACAAAATCCAACTTTGAACCAATAAACAATAGTTTAATTATCCTTCTTTAATAGTTTGGCCATTGAACTATCAAAGATTTGCTCAAGAACAACATCAGAAGCCACTTTGACATCCACCTCAGATTTAAAATTTCTTCACCAAAAATCCTTTTCACAAATTATAAAAAAAATCTTGTTTTACCAACAAAATAGTTTTGACAAACTATCTTGTAACATAATAAAACAGTATACACAACAAAACACAATAAAACAGTATACAATAAAACAGTATTCAAAAATTAGAAATATAATTTGACAAGTATTTCTGTGTCCCTGCAATTTCAGAGCCTGTCAAGAGTATCTTTTGTCAGAATGGATTGATAATGCGACCTCATAGAGCTTGTATGTCTGATTCATTACTTAAAACTTTGATATTTTTTAAATGTAACTAAAACTTATAGGCTATATAGTGATAATACTTTTGACATAGATAATGCTAACAACTAATATCAACATATTTTTAATCGAATGATTTTAATATTAGTTGTTAGCATTAAACACAAAAATACATAAAAATATAGAATTAAAAGTTTTATTTTTTTATTTTTATGTATTTTTATTTTTGGCTTTGTTATCTTTATTATCTTTATTGTTAGCTTTATTATCTCTGAATATATTTTCTCTCTGACTTTGGCGAATTCTGCGCATAAGCTTGGTATAATTTACAAAATGTGGTTTTATTTCACAGCATTTTTACCTGCAGTTTTGTTAACAATTGGTCTTAACATAACGCCATAATTTAATTCTTTGGCTCTCAAAATGTTTGCTTAGGTTTTGGCTTTAAGACTCTGGTCCTTGACCTGGCCTTGTTCTTAACACTCTTGGCCTTGAAACTTTTAGTTTTGATCTTGGCTTTGGCCATGAAACTTTTAGCTTTGGTCTTGGCTTTTGAACATGTTGCCTTGGCTGGCATGGAATCTTTTATTCCTTTTTGACAATTCCAAGTCAAACCTCACTCTTCTCTAATTGTGTTGCTGCAATTTCCAATCATAGCTATTACTTCCATATCTATCACCATGTTAGTTCTCCAGAAAACAGGTGTCTCTTTACCATTGCTAGAAACCATTGTAAAAAGTTATTGTCTAATGTGCTAAAGCTTGCTATTCTCAGGTCATGAAATCTCATACTTAATCTAAAAAATTAGGCTCCTGAGACTTCTGGAGATTCTTTAACAATGTCTATAATATGGGCAATTACTCCATCTATTATTCCAGCTCTCTTGCATGGTTCAGATTTCGTAACCTCACCTAAAGACAAAGCTGAATTGTTTGTTAAGAACTTTTCATCAATCTCATCTCTTGATTCTAATGATAACTAATAATGCACTATATAACCAGATGTAGTTTCATATAGAATTTTTTTCAAATGTCATCTGGAAAAAAATATTAACTAATAATGCATCTGGAAAAAAATATTAACTAATAATGCATCTGGAAAATTATATTAACTAATAATGCATCTGGAAAATTATATTAACTTATAATGCATTATTTTAACCAGATGTAGTAACATATAGAATTTTTTTCAGATGTAACTACATCTGGAGAAAATTCTTTCAGATGCTAATGGACTTGGAGTAAAATTACTAGATGTAATTACATCTTTCTAAAGATGTTGTTAAGGGTTGTTGAATTTTCAAATAATATTAGACATATTATTAGAGTAAAAGAAAACTACCAATGATCTCGGACAAAAGTTTACAGATGATCTTGGACTACTCAACAGATGTTGTTGGACAGATGTAGTAGTCTTTTACCTCTCTGATTGCTTAGAGGAAATTTATAGAGATTAAGAATTCTATTCTTTATCTCTAAAATCTCTAATCCATCCTTGTATGGAGTACTGTTAAATCTGGAGCGGATCTTTGAATGATGTTCTCCTTTAGACTAGGGGCAAAAATGCATTGTCAACATAGTTAAACCTGATCTTGCAGCCAACCTTCAACCATAGTCACATTGTCAAAACATTGCTACTTATTATATACATTGTCAAAATATTGCTACTTTTTCTCTTTTCTATAAATACTATATTTGGTGAAAAATAAAAAATAATAAAAAAAGACAACATGTAACAGTCTAGAGGCAACTGTTAACTATAAAATTTTTAAAGTGCCGACCAAGATTTTTTCTTCTTTGATTTTTAATTAAAAAAATCTTTAAAAATAATTACTTGGAATTGGCATCTAATAATTATCAAGAATTACACTGCACACCTAATACTTATTGTTAAAACAGCTTTAAATAGCTGATCTTAAAGTACAATGCAAAATTGTGTAAAGTTTTTGATTCATTAAAGTTACTGAAACATTTACAGTTGTTGTAAATAAATTTAATCATTAAAGATGTTGTTTGAAGACTTACAAATGTTTTTTTAATTAATCCAGTTTTATTGCTACATTTATATATGTTACAATTAAAATTTAACATTAAAGTTTAATTTATCATTAAAATGTGCTTAGATATCTTGATAAATTAAGTTGTTCCGATAATAGATAAATTAAGTTGTTCTGAGTTTTGTGTAAAATGAATTTGGGGTAGTTTCAAATCACATAATCTGGGCCTTTTAAAATAGAAAAATTGTAAAGGTTCACAGTTTTTTTGGTATACTATCTTTGCACTTTTTTCAACTTTGTTAAATAATTCAATAGGATGTAGTAACAAATAAAGAGCAGATAACAACTATTAATTTTAATTGACCTATTAAAAATAATTTACTCAAATAAAAATTGACTTGTAAGTTGATTATTAAAACTTATTTTAATTTTTTTTTTTAATGCAACAGGTCTGCCATATGTTATATTAATAATCCAAATGTCAGTTGTGGTTTTTTTTAATTTATTACTTGAGTTAATTAATTTAACTATTTTATTTTATTAGTGTTGATAATAGTGAATATATGAGAAATGGTGATTTTATGCCTACACGTATTCAAGCTCAACAAGATGCTGTTAGTTTAGTATGCCACGCTAAAACGAGACAAAATCCTGAAAATAATGTTGCACTTATGACTTCTGCTAGGTATACATTCATTCCATGCGTTTTTAACATAGGAAATCATTATCAATTCCTGAGTTCTCATTTATTTTAACATTTTTATAGAGTTCTTATCTAAAAATATTATTAAAAGTATTTATCTTTTTTTTTTTTTTTTAATTATTTTGATGTTTTTTTAAGTTGCTTTTTTCATTTATTTGCAATAATTAGATCAAATTTCACAAAAATAGTTCATAAAAAAAGTTAAATAAACAATCTGTAAAGTCATTTTATCATATTTACATTATTATTTTTAATATTGAGTTTTTCTCTTACTAAGTTTAATGAGTTCCTAAGAGCCAATAGTCAATGGCTTTTTTTCAAACAAAACCTCGTAACTTTCTAATTGTTAACAAGTCTTTATGTAGAACTTTTTTCAGAATTATTCTCTTTAAAAAACATAACTTCATAAAATGCTATTTTTCATGAACTTGCATTTTGTTTGTGTTATAAAAGAAAAGTTAAAACCTTGAAAAAATACTCCAATATTTCACTTTTTTGTTTAGTAAATAATATTTTATGTAAACAAACCATCTATTGTTTTCATATATCTATTGTTTGGTCAATAAAATCAATATAAAAATCTCTACAGGATGGTGGTAGGTGAAGCCAGGAATTACCAGGAATATTTAAAAGAGATGCTCTGATATAAAACCCCAAATTAATTGTGGGTAGGATAATCTTGTTAATCTTGGATGCTAGTCTTCTTAGTATTAATATTTATATTTTGTATTAGATTAATATGTAATAGTAAAGATAGATAAATGCATAAATAACACAATAAAGATAACGAGTCCTGATCAGCAAAACAGTTTGACACTAGAAAAGGTATCCAGTTGTAAAAAAAATTGTTTAATTTACTTATGTAATATTTAAATGAGTAAACAGGACATTATTAAAAACTGTACAAATCACATGAGAAACACATCAATCTGGTTTCTGGGAATAGATAATTGTTAGGAGTAACAGTTTTTTTTTTAATTTAAACTGTTGTATAGGTAGCATAATTTAATTGCATTTTTGTATTTTTAATTTGTGTTTTTAACACAGTTGTTGGTTTTTGTCATTTACAAAAAACTTCTAACGTTTTAATAATAGTACTAAAATTTTTTTTTTGACTTGTTTTTGTTGTCTTTCAAAAATATGATCAATTATAGCTGGCTATTTTAAAAATTTAATTTTTGTTTTTTAAAAAAATTATACAGAAGATTCATTTTTTTTTTTTAAAGGATCTGTTTTTATTATTAACTTCTTTTTTTTTTTTTTTTTTTGATTTCTGTTTCACTGTTTAATTTCATGTACAAATTTTTATTAGTTTTTTTAACTTAAATATATATTTTTTAAGTTTGGAAGTTCTTGTGACATTAACAACTGATGTAAACAGGGTTTTATCAAAACTCCATCAAGTAAATCCGTCTGGTAAAGCACAGTTTTCGACAGGGATTAAAATTGCACATGTATGAGATTTAAGTAAAATAATATAATATTTTATCTGACATGTTACCTAAAAGTAAATCTCCATTTAATATTTTGTTGTTGTTTGCAACTTTATCATGAAATTTCAGCTTGCATTAAAACATCGACAAGGTAAAAATCATAGAATGAGAATAATCGCATTTGTTGGGAGTCCAATTGATAGTTCAGATAAAGATGTAAGTTTTTATATTGTTACAATTTGGTTTTTTAGTTTACTTGTTATTTGTATTTGTTAGCTGTTTTTATTTTAATTGGTTTTTGAGTTTTATTATTGGTTTTTTGCTGATTGTTTGATTTGTTTTGAATTTATCAATTGTTTTTAAAAATTGTACAATTCCCAATGTTTCAGCTAGTTCGTCTTGCAAAGAAGCTTAAAAAGGAAAAAGTAAATGTTGATGTGATTGCGCTGGGAGAAGATGTATGTTCTTTTTTTGGAAATTTCTCAGTTTTTACTAATTTTTTATTCTTTTATATTTTTAATTGCTAAACCCACAAGTTAATCTGTTGCATAACAAATAGTGTATAGTTTCAAGAAGCTATTTGTTATAATAAATACCATAAAATTTAAAATTTTAAAATCTAAGGATTATTGGTCAGTGTTAGTAAAAATGAATGATCTTTCTCATCACACATAACTGTACATTAGGGCAATTCTGCCAAGCATAATTGGTACTGGTGTAGAAAATTTTAAATCAAGCGCAGTTTAAAAAAATATAAAACTTATTTTTTAGCATTTAAAATGTAGTAGTGTATAGTGATAGAGTGCTCGCTTCATAAGCGAAAATATCTGAGTTTGATCTCTACTTTCTTGGTAGTACTGTGCTTAACTTATTTCTCTTGCGGCCTTGTATGTCAAGGTTTGTGTTTTGGAGTTAAAGAGTTAAGACAGGGTTGTTACCACAATAAAGTAGCCTTCTCAACTGTAATGGCCCTCTGGGCCTTGGGAAAGTAAATAACATTAAAAGAGAAAAAAATAAATCTCACAAAATCGGTGGTTTGTTGTGCAAATGCATAAATATTAGTTTTATATTGTGTTTTGCCAAAATTGATTATTTTCCAGTTAATGATGCTATTATTATTATGCAATGTATCAAATCGCAGTTTTTTAAAAGTTTTTTTTTTTTTTGTTAATTCACCTCCTCAAGGCCAAGAAGGCCACTACAAACGAGGAGGCTACTTATTTGTGGTTATATAACCCTCTCTCAACTCTATAACTCCAAAACACGAACCTTGACGAACAAGTCCGCTGCGCGGAGAAACGAGTTGAGCACGATACTACCAGGGACGTGGTGGGGATTGAACTCGGAACCTCTCGCTTATGAAATGAGCGCTCTACCACTACACCACTACCGCTTTTAGATCAACAGTTAGGTCAACAGTTCGGTTGATCACTATTATTCTTTTGGTTTATTTATTTTTAATCTCAATAATTTTCTGTAATAGGTAAGGAGTATTATTGTGCAGTTTTTGGTTATAAGAATGAGCTTGGATATAAAAAAGTATTTTTTGAAAGATCATACATAGAATACATTTTGTTTTAGCAAAATTCAATTAAAGTAAAAGTCATATTTAAACAAAAAAAAAGTTAAAATAATATAAGCTAATGTAATAATTGCTGTTACTCTCACTAGGAACTCTCTAGTTCTTAAGTTAGTTTTTTTTTAGATAATCCTAAAATGAAAATGATAAATTGGCTCCAATTTATAATAATGTTCTTTACTATCAACCATAAAATATCAGAGCCTGAGAGAGGTGCTTAACGTGCTACTCCTCAGGACAACACTTTGTAAAATGTTATACTAATTTAAAAATTAAATTTAATCCATTGATCTAATCTTAGAGTAAAAATTAATATGTAAGGATACAAAAAAAAGTTTTTAACTTTTTTTTGTATCCTTACATATTAATTTTTTTTTTTAAAAAGTAGGGCCAGACTAAGAAAAAATTAAGAAAGATACTTAAAAGTATTATCCAGAATAATACATACACAAATACTAAGCATCTTTCCTAATACTTCCTTTTTCAAACTGGGAAAGTAGCATATCTAAAATTAAACTTTAAAAAATATCTAGCTTGTTTTCTCTGTAAAAAAAAAAAAAAAAAAAATTCATAAGATCTAAACCCCTAAAAATTTAGACTTTTTTCTTCCCTTGGGCCAAAGTTAATCTGACATATTTGTGTACTAAAACACAATCAAATTTAATCTTCGTTATTGCTTGGTGTTTTTTTTATTTATTTATTTAAAAATTTTTTGTAGAAAATTTTCCTCTTAATTATAGACAATAAGTAATTTTAATATTATTATTATTAAATGTGGCAGTTATTACCAAATATAATATAAAAATTACACATTTTAAAATATATTTATAATTTTAAAACTACACATGAAGTATTTTTTTTACAACAAATTTGTGTTTCTTTTGTTGGTAATGTTTAGTAAAATTATCTTTACAATATTTTTTAATATATTTATTTAATTGGTGTTGAAGTATATTTGAAATTTTTCAATGTAAGGGAGTTTAAAGTAATGTATATCAGATGGTTTTAAAGATGACATGTTTTTTTTAGGAGAGAATGTTGTTTAGTGAGATTTTTAAGGTTTTGTCAATTAAGTTCAAGGGAAAAGAGTTTTTTTGGAGAGTTTGTTATATATATATATATATATATATATATATATATATATATATATATATATATATATATATATATATATATATATATATATATATATATATATATATATATATATATATATAAAGAAACACTTGATATATATATATATATATATATATATATATATATATATATATATATATATATATATATATATATATATATATATATATATATATATATATATATATATAAAGAAACACTTGAATTACTTTGCCTTATTCAGTTTAAATTTTTAATTAAAAAATAATTACACCATTTTTCATAGTTTTAGTCACAGAATACTCCTCATCAGTTTTAAATGATAAAAATGGAATTGCTCTGTTGTATACTCAAATAAAAAAACCATAATATTGTTTTTGAATATATTTTCCTAAATTTTGCTTAGAATTTTTTTAATTGCTTGTCCACAATTCAGTTATACTGTGCATGATTTAGAGAGAATATTGTTTATTATTTATTTGAATTGGTTTTTAGTCTGCTTCATTTGATAAACTTTCTCAGTTTGTTGATACATTAAATGGAAAAGAAGGAACATCGTATGTTATATTTTTATATTTCTTTGTTGTAAACTTGGCTAATTTTTTGTTTTGTTTATGTTATTATTTATTTTTTACAGAAGTCATTTAGTTGTGATTCCTCCTGGGCCAAGTCTATCTGATGCTTTGAGAACTTCAGCAGTTTTGCAAGGAGAAGATGGTTATATGCCATCTGGAGATTTCTCTTCAGGAGGATTTGATGTTGATGCAAATCTTGACCCAGAATTGGCTTTAGTAACAATTTTTTATCTTTTTTATTTTTTCATACACTTAACAGTAAAAACAACAACTTAATAGTAACAGTTATATAAGAAATATTTTACCAAACAGTGTTATTAGAAACATTTTACCAAACAATTTTATTAGAAACATTTTAATAAAAAATCTGACAAATTTAAATGGTTATGAAAAATTATCATCTTTTTTATTAGTTAAACCCTGTTTTATTTTTAACTTATTTTATTTTGAATCTTTTTTAAATCTTCAATAGGAAATGATATCAACAATACTGTTTTTTTGTTTGTTTGTTTTGAGTAAGAAGGAAATACTCTTAAAGTTAAATTAAGCGTTTTAATAAGTATTGTAAATAAACTTAAATTGTGAAAAAAAATGTGAAAACATAAGGTAATCAGGTGAAAACATAATGTGATCAGGTGAAATAATTAGGTGATCAGATGAAAATATAAGGTGATCAGGTGAAAACATAAGGTGATCAGATGAAAACATAGAGTGATCAGGTGAAAACATAAGGTAATCAGGTGAAAACATAAGGTGATCAGGTGAAAAGGTGATCAGGTGAATAGTAATAATTTAAAGTATGTGGACAAAATAGTTGACTTTTTTAGAGATAATCAAACTACTTTCTAATCCATTTAGTTTTTCTTGAATAATTTTTATGTTATCAAGTTTTATTTATCCTGACAACCATAATTTGTTGATAGGCCCTTCGTGTCTCAATGGAAGAGCAGAGAGCACGTCAAGAGGAAGAAAGTAAATCATCATCTAATGAAGTGGCAACCGGTACTTCTTCCAAGGAAGATTCATTATTAATGAATGCAATGTTCTCCAGGGGGGTAGGTAACTTTTTTTAGCTTTTTGTAAATGCAATGCAATAAGTATTGATAAGTTGTATATAATATTTTTAAATTTATTTTGAAAGAGTGATCAACCAGTTGACTTTAATGCTATGACAGAAGAAGAGCAAATAGCTATGGCTATACAAATGTCAATGAGTGATGCTAATTCTTCAGTTGAACCATCTGAGACACCAACATTAATGGATGTTGAGGTAATTCAGTGTTTTTTTGTTATCATATATATAAAGACTCATCAGAAATGCATTTCTGATGAGTCTTTATTGATGAAACACAGTGTTAAATGAGAAAAAATTTTGCTAAGTGATTTTCTACTAATTTGTAATTGCTCTGTTCTTTTAAGAACATTAAGCACTCTTTTTGTAGAATACATTTTAAATTGTTTATATATATATATATATATATATATATATATATATATATATATATATATATATATATATATATATATATATATATATATATATATATATATATATATATATCGTGCGTGTGTGTTATTGTGGATATTTAGCTAAGCCTATGATGTCATACTGAAATAGTATGAACATGCATCAACTATCTAGGTAGAACTTGCAAGGGAAACTGCTACATAGACTAAAGGTTTGGGTTGAGGCAGCAATCATTTTTTCCATTATTCTTACTTTTTACATTGTTACCAGCTGCAACATTTAATTTATACCATACAATAACATAAAATATTCCATTCCCCACAGGTTTAGACTTTATTAAAATATAAAAGTTGGTTAATTAAAATGGCTTCTTTTAAATAGTATAAAGAGTAGAGAAGGGCTAGAAATCCTCCTGGATAATTTGATTCTATGTTTTTTGATTCATAGATAAACAGTTTGTTGTCTAGGTTAAAATAGTTTAAAAAATTAATGTTGAGGGGTAACATTCAGTATGTGACAAAATTGACACCATGTTTGAACATTTTTTTTTTATTTTTAAATAGAAAAGCTGCAAAGAAAAATTAAATTTTATTTTTATTAATTATATTTAAGACCTAGCTACCTGAAAATAATGCTTTTTATTAAATATAGACGATATTTAATTAAAAAAATTTTTTTTTTGTGTAATGGTGATAATTTTGTTGGAAATGAAAGTAATTGGCCTAAATTGTCCGCAATTAATTATGCATTACAACATAAATTAATAGCCTATGATTAATAAGATTGAGTTATCAACATTCCAAAGATTTTTAATGACTAAACATAGTTTAAAGTTAGATTTTGTTTACAAAACATAAAAAATATATTGTAATTATCATCATGAAGAAAATAATTCTTAAAAAAAATTATTATTTTTAGTTTAAGATTTTTTTTTCAGATTTAATGAAAGGGTTAAATCAAGATTTTTTTTTAGATTTAAAAAAACACTTAAATCTGGAAAATCTTATCCTGAAATCTCTGTTGATTTTGGAAAGCCTCATAATCTCATATACAAAAACAAATTGCACAATGATTTATATATAAATAAAGCTAAAAATGAATTATGCTAAACTTCATGCAAAATTATGCTAAACTTCATGCAAAAGGCTTTTGATGACCTTTGTGACTCTGAATTTGAGCAGATTAAAGTAAAAATAACATGTTTGGGTCAGATGGTAGAAGATATATTTGGAGAAAGCTGTGCTCGTGGAGTTGATGAATTTGTGAAAATTAATGAAATAATGATGATGACTAAATCAACTCATCGTTAAAGTCAGATCTTTCAAGTCACTTTAAAAATGAAGCAAAACTTAATGGTCTTATCAGTCCTTATGCTTGTCCCCAGCATAAGGGCTGATAAGACCATTAAATTCCTTCATGAGAAAAAATGAAAGTCGTTTACTGGCCAGCACAAAGCCCTGATCCTAACCCACTCTAAAAATTTATGGGCAATAGTTAAACCATGGGTCTACATTTTTCCCACTCCACCTAAGAATAAGGATGAACTTTAAACTCATGTACAAGAAGTTTGGTACTCTATTACACCCGAGGAATGCTGAAAATTTGTTGCAAGTGTTCATAAAAAAATTCAGGCTGTAATTGAATCTAAGAGAGGATTCACTCGATATTAATTTATTACAATATGTTATTTGTTTTCATTCGTGACAAAATTGTCACCATTAGCTTTTCACAAAAAAATTCAATATCCTCTAAATTTAATGAAAATATTTTCATTTAGCTATGTCTTAAATATAATTAATAAAACTAGAATTTCGTTTTTCTTCGCAGCATTTCTATTTAAAAAATATAATGCTTCTTTGTTGAAACATGGTGACAACTTTGTCATCTGTCTTTTTAATTTTTATGGTTGGTTTTTAAACTCCAGGGTAATTTTTTTTAGGTCTAGGTAACAGATTTATAAAAATCTTTAATAAATCATAAATGGTTTTTTCAAGTGTCATATTTTTTCTTATGATTCAGTTTTTAAAATTTTTTTAAAATCGGTTTTAAAAAATTTCGTTACTATTTTCTTTAGTGAGTAATTTTTTTTCTACAGGTTTATCCTGTTATCCTCACAAATTTAAATTTACATTTTTTCCAGGCGATGTAAAATGAATTTAAATAATCATATATTGCTCATATTGTTTTTGCAGTCTAGACTGAATGTCTGTATGTATTGTTTTTGCTATATGCGAAACTTTAGTGCAGGCTGGTAAACAGCTTAAAAATTTTTCTGAGTTTATTTAAATTTGTTTCTTATCTAGACTGACAACCCAGATTCTATGGAGCAAGACTACAGCGCAGTAATGAACGATCCTGCTTTTCTTCAACATCTCGTTGGCAGCCTTCCGGGTGTTGATCCTAATAGTGAAGCTATACAAAATGCTCTCCACGCTCTTACTAGTGGTTCAGAGGCTAAAAAAGATAACGAATCTAAAGATGAAAAGAACAAAGAAAAGTAACGATTTCAAATATTCAATTTTTACTTTTGTAAATTTAAGCAAAGTTTATTAAAATCATTTTACTTATGTTTCAGAGTATGCTTGTGTTAATTTAACATTTTTGTTTTCTATTATTGTTAATGTAAATACATTACCCATCTTGGTTTTTTTCTCCTAAGAATTATAATATCTGACATTGCTCACCTAAATACATGATTTGACTTTTTTTCTTTTAAAGATTATAACTTTTTTTTAAAGAAAAAGCGTCACCGAGAAAAGTACTTTTAGGGATCAAATACTACAGGTTAAAGGATTGTACTGAAATAATTTTTAGAATCATTTATTTTAGTTACTGGAAAAAATCAACTTTCTAATTATGTTAATTAGATAAGGCTCCCTTCACATCTTCAGATTTTTTTTCACTTTTTTTTCTTCAGAGATTTTTTTATTTTTTTATTACAAGTCGGTCTAAATCCTCCGAAGATGTACATACTGTGCCTGAAGCTAAATAAATAAATTAGTAATACATGCTCCATGCCCTGCTGCCTTGCAGGTTTTGCTTTTTTAGGCAAAGACTAGGAGAAACAAACTCCGACTTAAAAATCCCCTGCCTTGGGGCTGCTGTTTGAGTAAAAGCTAGAGATGATGTTACGAAAAAAATACTCATCTTGGCCAGATGTTAACTGCATCCATAATTTTCTACTTGTAGAAGACTTCTCAGGTAAAGACTTTAGAAATAAGCAGAACAATTTTGTTAACCAGCCTCAAACCCCTTCCTGATCTATTAGGCTGGCGTAGACTAACCTGTATTACATTGTTTCCGGCCTACAATGCTGAATCTTCTTGACTCAATTCATAGATTTTTACTTGTCCCTTCTTGATAGTGGCTACGCAACTTTTCTTGTTATTTCTAATGAGAGTGCAGCTCTAAAACTCAGTTAAATGGTTCTGAAACCTGCTCGTTGTAAGGTTTTTGAAACTCTGTGGTTGCTCTCAGAGAGGCTAATTCCGTCAAAAGTTGAAAAATATCAGAGCCTTAACAGTGCCATGTTGCGCGTGAATGGTAACCCTGTTCAGTTCTTTGGTGTGCATTGTCGAGGTCGCATAAAGAGCCTTAAGTTACGATTTTGTGTTAGTTAACGGAAGCTTTCTTTCAACTTAAATGATGCATAAATTTAACCAAAATAATAAACATAAAAACCATCCCCACCGCTTGTCTGTTTTAATATATTATTCACTAATATTCGTGCTCTGCAAAATAAGTTATGTGCTTCCACTTAGTACCGCTTCACTCTATCGCCTTTCGCTTTGTTTTTTATTGTTTTCCTTTTTCCTAAGACAGCGCTTTTTGTCTGTCAAATTTGTTGTTATTGGTGACTTATATGCTCATCACACTGAATGGCTTGGGTCTAACACCACTGACCATGATGGAATTAAAATTTATAAGTTTATTTAATTCTGCATTTCTCAATCTCTTACTCAGATGGTTAATTTGTGACTAATTTTCCAGACAACCCTAATCATTTACCTTCACTATATGATTTGTGACTTGTCTCTGACTCTGGCTTGGTTTCAGTTCCTTTTTCTTTCTCCCTTAGATTGTTCTAACCACGTAATAATCTTTATAAATCTTTCATCTCTTATTTTTTTTGGACTCACCTTATCATTGCACAAATTACTACCACGCAAAAGCTGACTGGGATTCTTTTCGTGATTTTCTTCCTAAAGGTCCTTGGGTTGATGTCTTTTCTCTCTTAGTTGATAAATGTTAAATTATAACCTCCTGGATTCAGGCAAGAATAATTGCTTTTATTCCTTCTCGTTGGTTCCGAGTCAAATCTTATTCAAAACCATAGTATTTACCTTCATGTGCAGCTACTATATCTAATTAAAGTCATTTTTTCCATCTTTTTTTAAAAAAGCAACTCTTTTGAGAACAAGCGATTGTTTTTATTTGTTATTGCAAGAAATCAATGCAAAAAGGTGCTGTCTGATGCTAAGCTCCATTATTCCCAGTTTACTAAATCTCGCATCTTACTTCTGCAGTTAGGCTTTAAAAACTTTGAAAAAATTTTCAACGGTGTCTTTAACAAAGATAGGTTTAATATTTTATTTCTCATTCATGGAATTACTCATGGAATCTTTTAAGTTATCTGTCAATTGTTATCTTGCTCTATAAACTTTATATTTTTCCTGTAACTTCTAACTCTGATAGTGATTGCTTGCAGCCTTATTATAAGCAAAGATGTTGGGAACAAAAAAGTTCTGTTTAAAAAACATTTTTTGAACTCTTTTTAGCTCTAACTATTAAATTTTACATCAAAATTTTTTTCTTTTTTGTTATTTGTTAATATATTATGTTTTCAAAAATATTTAGTAATTGAACTTCAATTAGTTACTGTATGTAGTTATATAAATTTCAAGTTTTTGACTTTGAAAAATTTTTTAAAGGCGTCTTTAACAAACACTTTAACATTTTATGGAACTTATTACCCTCATGGAACTTATTACCTCTCGCAAAGATAAGGCAGGACTGCTTGCAAAGAAATTTTGTTCAAATTCGATTCTGGAATCTTTTAGACATACTCTTCCTGCAATTCCAATTAAGGTGGTAGACCTTAATTAAATTACTTTTAATTGTGTAAAATGTAAAAATCTTGTTTTTAAAAAAGGTTTTTAAAACAAGTTAACCCATTATTGGGCATTCAAATCATCCCAGCTTCCGTTGCAAAAGTCCTATCTGATTTACAATCTTGCTACGGTCTAATCAACATTCCTGTCATAGTCGTACAAAAGTTTTCTCCCTATCGCTCTTCAATTCTTTCTAAGTTATTTAATAAGCGCTTAAGGAGTATAGTACCTCATTTTTTAATATAGATAATAAATAGCAACTTTTGACATAAAATGATTAAACATATCATAAATTTGGAAAATAAAAAAAAATCGGTCAACGGTTGCTGCAGTAACCGTAAAAAACCCCCAAAATAAGAAGAAAATAAGATTTGCACTGGACAAGTTCTAGCAAAAATTGATAAAAAAAAGGCTGAGTGAAACTTTGGAAACACAATTAGAATAGGTTTATGAGTGTTTTAAACGAAACAGATTCTTTTAAAAAAGTTCTGGGCCTGAAGACTTGTGCTCTATAGTTGACAATAGAAAAAAGTGCATTTTTTGAAAAATTAAGTCAGCCATACTTAATTATTATATTAATTATAATAATTATTCATAAGTATTTCAAAATTATGTTCTGTTTAAAACACAACTTTTATAAAAAGGAAAATTTCACATAAAACGCTCGAGCGGTTCTCTTGGAATTTTAGCCGGCATATTGAAAAACCACAAACTTGAGCAGCCGTGGCGCAGTGGTAGCGCACTTGCCTCAGAAACGTAAGATCCCTGGTTCAAACCCCACCTCTGGGCAAGTTTTGCGACATTGGTTTGGAAGGAGGCGTGAACTTCCTATTAAATGCTCTTCCGCGGTGCTCTGTGATAAGACCGTAAGGACTTCTTGGGGCACCTTAATCAACTAAAAAAAAAAAAAAACTGAGAAAACGCATAAAAACTGAAAATAAACAATATAAGATCTACAAATATACGTAACATTATATATTGGACTATATTTAATATTAAAAACCTCCTGCTTCATATGTTTTACTTTTTTTTTCAGAGGTTTTGTTATTTTTCTTTAGTTTTTAGCCCTTTTGACGATGCAACTTGTTATGGGGGTTTAGTTTATAGATCGACCATTTAATGCGTGTTTTATTTATGTTGTTAGAACCGTTCAGTGTATAAAAACATGTTCAGTTTTTCATATGTTAGGATTGAAGACTTCATCCCAATGTTAAAATTGGCAACAGCATCATAAACACCAAACTTCAGCAAAGTCAGCGAGACATATTTTGTTTTCGGTATGCGATCCTAAATTTTGCGTTTTACCGTGCAGACATTTTTTAAGATCATCTTCTTTTAAGAGCTCTTCAAACACAGGTCTGATCTTGTATACAACCTCTAAAGGTAGACTAGGTCCTGGCTTGTAGGTGTTAGTTCTATTTTTTTTTCTCTCTGTTAAACTTTCCCACTGCCTATTGAAAGTGCTGCAAATACACCATTCAATGATGAAAATCCCCTACGCTGCCATGTGCCATCACATGATACACCAACAGCAAAAATCTTATTATTATCTTGACACTGTAGTCTTAAATCAGATACTTCATCAGTCATTGTTTCCTGTGCAACTTCCTCTGTCATATTAGTAGTTTTTAAAACAAGTTTGTTTTTTGACGTCATTGGTTTTGGCATGTTCATGAGGGTTGTAAACCTTTCAATTCCGGAATGTCCTAATCCAAGAGTCCTCATTGTATATACTGTTTGATTGTTTATATCAAAGTTTCCTTTTTTATCAATTAACATAGTGTAAAAGTCAAAATAGAAAGTTAATAGAAAGTTCACGTGCAAGTCCTTGCTTTTTGCTTATGTTTTCAATGATTGCTAAAGTCGTTTGGAAACATGTTGGACAGCTCAAAACGCTAATAACATCGGCTTTTCCCGAGCTACCCACTGATCAGTTTTACTATGCTTCTCTGAGATTTTAGTAGAACTAACCCATTGGTTAGTTCTACTAAAATGAATTTGGATTGAGAAAAACTAAATATCTAATAAAATAAAAGAACTTTTTTTAAATGGAGTTTTTTTAACGTTTTTTTAAGGGGTGAATTCAGTTTTGATTAAGTTTGTGACTTTTATAACCTGTTCTTAAGCAACAAAAAGTACAAAAGCAGTTAAGGTATTCTTATTAATGAAGCCAATCAACCATTTAGTCTCTCCAGCTATTCGGACAGCCTTATGTTTCTGCTTAAAATTTATGTTAACCTTACAACTTCAAAAAAATTGAGTTGGATAAGAACTTTATTTAAACTGAACTAGTCAACAAACTCTTTATTTTTTAAAATCAAAACTATTTTTTTATCGAAGGCACTTTTTTTTTTTAACAACACAGCAGAAACACACAAACCTAACAGGCTCCCTTTAAAAACAAAATTTTTATATTTATTATTATCTATATTAGATTACTTTAACTTTATAAATCAAAGTTCATACCAATTGTTTTATTTAAAAAAAAAGTGTAAGGTGAGGTAACTCCTCGAAGTAAGGCGAGTAAAGTAATTTATTTAGACTTTCAACGTGTTTTCCAATTTTCGACAACTTCTTATAAGCATTACTATTTCTGTGAATTTTTTTTAATTTTTTTGTTTTTTATAACAAATAGAAGCTGGGAACTGAAGCATACATATTATAACTATTATGATTATTTTAAACAAAAACATATTTATTATATTTAAGACTTTATATTTCATTTGAAAATTATTATAATTGTTTAAATATATATATATATATATATATATATATATATATATATATATATATATATATATATATATTTAAACAATTATAATAATTTTCAAATGAAATATAAAGTCTTAAATATAATAAATATGTTTTTGTTTAAAATATATATACATACATACACATACATATCTAAAACTTACATATTTCGAGGAGCCAAAGTTTATCTAGTAAGTGTAACTTGCATTTTTTTGTTTCGTAGATGATTCCGTTTCAAACTTATTTTAATTCTTAGATAACATTATTAATGAATACCACTCTTTTTTTTTCCAAAATATTAATATAGATTGGAACTAAATGAGAGTAAAGTGGAAATCGCCAGTTTTATTATTATAAAAATAATAGACAAGACATTTTTGCCATAAACCACGTGACTTTGGTTTAAACTCAAAAAATTACATCTACTTCTTCTAGTATTCAAATTACAGAAATAAAACAACAGAACGATATATAGTTTATATATCATTATATAGTTATGTATTAAATAGGAATGTTCTGCAAAAAGTTGTTGTGATTAAAAAAAACAAAAAAAAACCCAAAAGGTTCACCACCACCTTCCGAATGCGAGGGCAATAAGCTAATAAAATATTGACAAGCTCCATCCAATTATCTTTTAGCGTTCGAAAGAAATGAACAAAGAAAGTTTTCACCTTCTTCAAAATTAGGGGGTTGTAAATTTTACATGGTTTACTTTTACATTTAAAAGGTTTGTGGAAATTGGATTTTCTAGAATACAGTAAATTAAAATATTTTATTATTTCATTGTTCTCACAAGTGAGCTAGGAGAGATAAATTTGCTCATGTATTTTTGTTCCCAGACTCCTATCCCGTTTTTTTTTTTGCAAAATATTCCTATTTTACATAAGCATGAATATGCTTAAATTTGGAGTTTTTACAGCCTGGAATTGTCACTTAACGTCAAAAATTCTGGATCCACTACAAATTACAGATGCAGAAATGACATTTTATCACCTTTTATCACTAGAAAACAATTATTTCAGTACGAAAAGGTGCAGTTACATCTTTCACTAAATCTTAGCAGGATCAATAAATGCTGAGACTACCTGGTAATCAATTGTTTATCAGTTTTTCAGTTCCAATAATTTTTTATATCTTGACCCTACTTCCACGACTAAACGCATTTTTTTCAATACTATCTAGAAAAAAATCAAACAATTTAAAACAACTGTCATAAACCTTTCCATTAATGTCTCGGAAAATATTAAAAGTAATTCTATATAAACTGGTCGGAACATTAATTATAATATTTTTCTTGAACTCTCACTTTTGACCAAAAAATTCAACTTTGTACTCAAACATCTCATAGTTATACGTTGATAATTAAACTTCTATAGGAATGAACACTTCAAAGCCATTTGAACTGTAGAACTAATTGTCAAACGTATATATATTTTAAACTTATTTACTAAACTTATTTACTAAAAACGTATATATATTTTCTTATGAAAGTCAATAGTTTTGCAAATCACTAAGCCAAATCATTCATTTCCGATAGTTTCGTCAATAAAGATTTCATAAAATTTCTAATAAAAACTTGAAGTTTAAGTTAAAGCCTTTAGTTTCTTTTTTGAGTAGCATTTTAATGTTTAATTTTAATGAGATAATATAAATATCAACATTGTTTTTGCGTTAACCGGCATCAACTTAAATCTCATGAGACCGAGAAATCTTTGATATTTCAAAAAGCAATGTTTTAGCAATCTCTCGACTCTAAAAAAAAAAAAAAAAAAAAAAAAAATACTTTTACTGTTTTAAAAAAAAAACTTAAGACCAAAAAAACAGTACAAATTTTTACTTCTGGATAGTCAACAGCTTTTCTTGCATATGTACTAGCATCTTCATATCTTCCAGCACGAAGGTGATATCGAGCAACAAAAATACATGCGTGGGATGCATCTGCAGTGGTAGCATTCTAAACCAATATATCAAAATACGTTTACTTTTTCAATTAAAATTTGTTATATTAACAAGTGTTAGCAACTATTTAAGTTAATTAAAAAAATATCTATCGTTTTAGCTAAAGCCAAGTCCTCAGTTCACAAAAGTAGAAACAGGCCTTACTAGAAATTACGCGTGAAATTTCGCCACAGATAACACTGCCCAACAGTCATTTGGTTTCGGAACCAAAATTAGTTACAACTTATGTATTTCCACCTGCTGAATTCAAAAATGACATATTTAAGAAATAAAAGCAAAAATTTTTAATCAAGGGTAAAATTTTTTTTACCCTTTGATTAAAATTTTTTTTGTTTTCGACAACCCTAATGTTTTATTCAGGTTTAAAACTTGTGATATTAGTTATGTGTGTTTGGTAAAGTTTCTGGTCTAATCTATTCTTAGTTTTTTTTTTCATTTACTAGTGTTAAATTTGACAACTCAACATGCTAGGGAAGTGTGTAAATTTAGTGGACAAATTTTGTTACATTTTTGGTAAAAGATCATTTTCCTCACAGAAAAGAACTATGACACCTCTTGTGAAGACTGCTTACCAGCATTACTTCGAAATGAAGGTAGAGGACCAGGATAAGCTGTAGCTCTTGTTCGGTTACGCTACGAGAATTGTTGAAAAATAAAAAAAGGGCTTTTGCTGTTCCTATGGTATGGAGGGAGCCTAAAAACCATACAAATGACTGCTATTTCTGATTGACCCCACCCATTAAGGCAGGTTTGTCAATGAAGAAAATTGGAACAATTAAATAATCAAATCTTCCGTCTGCCATTCGACCTTTTCCACATTTGGATAGTTTAGCATTTCCTACTCCACCACAAAGCTGTGTGTTAAAAAAGCAGAAAATGAAGGCAGAAATGAAGTAGAAATATAAGAAAAAGAAGAAAACATTTCTTCCACATCAAATGATCCTGATTTTGCCTTCCACATCAAATGATCCTGATTTTGTGTTAAAAGATGATATTTCACATAGATTGGGTCAAGCAGAATTAAGTGATCTTTTTCGAGATCTGAACTTGTCACAGGAAAAGGCAGAACTTCTAAGGTCAAGACTAAAGCAGCGGAGTCTTCTCTAATTTAATGTCAAGGTTTCACATTACAGAATACGGCACCAGAATCTGCTTTCTTCTGATAAGAAAAATAGTCTTGTTGTTTGCATTGATGTCTTTGGATTAAAGTACTGTCTTAATTTGAACTTATGATTCAACTGAATGGAGATTGCTTATAAACTAATCTAAGCTAAGCTTGAAAGCTGTATTACTGCACAATGGAAACCGTTTTTTTTTCTGTTCCTATTGGCTATGCAGTTTACATGAAAAAGACTTATATAAACATGAAAATTCTCCTCAACTCAATTAACTACAATAAACACAAATGGAAATTTGTGGTGATCTAACAGTCATTTCTGTAAAAAGAAGAAGTTCACATTATATAAAAGAAGACTGGCCTGCAAGAAATCTCAACACAGATAAAAAAAATGTTATTGCTGAACCACTCGTGCATCCAAAAGATGTTTTTCTTCCACCATTACGTATTAAATTTAATGAAAATTTTTGTCAAAGATATAAACAATGAAGAACAGGCTTTTAGGTATTTAAGAAACAAATTTCCAAAAATAAATGATACAAAAGTTAAAGAGGGTATTTTTGTTGGGCCATAAATACGTCAACTTATGAAGGATCCTGCATTTGATAAAGTTTTGAAGGGGCAAAAAAAAAGGAAACTTAAGGGAGTGATTTAAGTATTTTTAGGTAACAAAAGAGATAACTACATTCATATGGTAACATTACTTTTCCAAAAATACCATCAACTTGGATATAACAAGTCCCTCAGTTTTATTCCTTATTCCGATTTATTTCCTCAACTCACCGCTAGACTCCCCCCCCTTCCCTCCAGTTGTGGAGCTGTTAGTGATAAACATGGGGAAAGGTTTCACCAAGTTATTTCTGTAATGGAACCTAAGATATCAGGGTCGTTGGAATAAGACTCACAGATTACTGTTGGTTTGTGTGTATGGATGCTCCAGAACTAGTCTACAAAAGAAATGCAAAAAGATCTCAATCTCTTAACGATACCCCATAACCATCTTTATACCTATTAGCTTGATGATCATGATTTTTTTGTTTAAAACTGTTAGAATATTTCTGTAATAAAAAAAAACCAAGTATACTTAAATATTATTAGAATATGTAAATTATATGCCATATTGCTCTGTTGCAAATTAACTTAAATAAAAATTTATTGCTATTGTATATCTCAGAAATTAGAACTAATAAAAAACTCTTGTTGTCATTTTTTTTTTCTCATCCAAAAATTAGTATAATTTGAATAAAATTGTTAAAGATACAAATAAATTTTTTTTTTGTTACCCAGTGTAATCAGTATGAGGCTTGAGGAGATGCCTAGAAGTTTTTGGAAAATTAAAAACTCATCATATTTTGAGATATTTATCTTTTTGAAAATGTACTCTCGAGTCCTTAATAAAAGGGGAGGGAAGTTTATTAATTTTTGAAAAATTTTCCCACCCACCCCAATCTTATTAAGACCCCTACCCCGCTTCCCCCATATATTAAATTTTTATTTGTTATTAACAACTTTTTTCTTAAAACTAAAAACAAAAAATCAGTGAAAATTGGCCTTTCCTTTAACAAACTAGAAAATATTTATTTCAGTCACTGATAAAAACAACAACATTCAGTGTAAACAGACTTTAAAAATTGCTGAACTAGTAAATCTTGATTAATCAAAAGAGCTTTCAGTTTATTCCTCACCAAAGTATAAAACTTTTTTCAGCATATTAAACCCTATTGAAACTATGATTAAACAGCTGTTAGAAAATGCGCTTTGACCGCATACCACGCTAAAATTAAATAGTTTTATGTATGTTTTGTAAAAAGTATTAGTTTGGATTTATAAACAGATATTTTTTATAAAAAATACTTATATTGTAACATGAAAAAATTCCTCCTGCCCCCCTTTTTATTAGAATCCACCCCCCCTCCCTTTGTATTATTTTTTGTATTAAGGTCTAAGAGTAAAAAAAAATTCAAATTGTTTAAATATTAGATTGTTATATATCATTAGAAAAAGAATAAGTATATTAGTATATAACACAGTATTTCAGAGGTGAAAAAATTATCAAAACCTTTGTTTAAATTCCTTGAAAGTTATGATGGTTTTAAAACAGATTTGTTAAAAAAATTGTCAAAATAAAGTTTTTCTCAACTAAAATTGTCATAACTTTTTAAATTCTAATTGAAATGGGAATAACTTAGCATCAAAATTTAGGCGTAAGTGTGGACTACATACTTATATTAAACTCTAACTACCAGAGGTATCCGGGTGGGTAGAGGGGCACTAAACCACCATCTTAACTGCAAAAAATAAAACACTTTTTTTTTAAAAAAAATGTGTTTTTAAAAAAAATTAGTAACTATAATAATACAAAAAGTAATTATAAATTTATTGCAGCCCATTAAAGTATATAAGAGTTGTATGTTAGAATAGGAGTTGGGTGTGGTGATGGCTTAACACACCCTAGTATTGAAAGTTGTTTTATATATGATCTTGTGAAAAACCATCATAGAAAGGACTATTCTTCTGCTGTTGATATCTACTTATCCTAATAGGCTGTGCCCAAACAGCAAGGTATATATTTTCAAGAAAAAAGCTTGGAAAAAATATATCCAAAATTCAAGAAAACCACAGTTAGTTTAGACTTATTTGTGACCAAAAGAATCTGCCAAAATTTGTGAAAGGATAAACACTTTCACAAAATGTAGCTCCAGCTGGTTCAAAGAACTTTAAAGTTTGCTCCTATCTCATGCAGATAAGTAGAGGTAAAATCAGTGCCAAGAGCCAAAAATCTTGTAAAACTAGCAAATCAAACTAAAAGTATTATTCAAAAAAAGGTAGCTTCTTCAATGCTTAAGCAAATATTGGTGCTGAAATTAAACTATCTACATAAGGTGCACTAAACACACAATTACTCTTGGAGTTAAGCAGAAAGAAGCAAAATATATTGCACCAAAAGAAACTTCAAACTTAGTAAAGGCTTTAGATCTTTCTCAATTCATGTCTTAATGTATGTTAAAAATATTGAGAAAGAAAGGTATGAAGTTTGAACCAAATATGGAAGAAAAATCAGTAAACCAATCACAACTTCTAAATGATTTCTATGATACTGTAAATATATCCATGGAGGAGAAAAATAAATCAACAATGATTGAAGTAAAAAGAGAACTTATTTTTATCAGATATTTGTTAGAATTTTAGGAACTTATTATGGAATATGGCAATCAGGATTCAACAACCACTTTAGTAAAAATTAGAATTAACTATGGTGGTGGGTCTTGAAAGAAATTTGCAAGCTTGTTCATAGTAGGAGTTTGCAAGATCGGTCAACTTTAAATTGAGATTTCTCTAAAACCATAAATGCTTTTTATTTGATTTTTTTTTTAAATTATTTTATCAATATATATATATATATATATATATATGTATATATATATATATATATATATATATATATATATATATATATATATATATATATATATATATATATATATATATATACTCTTGCATGGAAGTTAAAAAGAGTTTCCCATAAACTGTAGTTTTAAAGAGCGCGTTAATAAACCAGACCAGAAAAAGTTTAAAAACTTAAATTTTTTTTTTTTTTCAAATGATAGACTGCCTGCCCAAACCAAACCCTCAGTCGATGTAGCAGCACTCCCTTGCGAGTCAGGCTATTTGTCAGTCGTTGTAGCAGCACTCCCTTGCAAGTCAGGCTATTTGTCAGTTGATGTAGCAGCACTCTGTTGCGAGTCAGGCTATTTGTCAGTCGATGTAGCAGCACTCCGTTGCGAGTCAGGCTATTTGTCAGTCGATGTAGCAGCACTCCGTTGCGAGTCAGACTAGTCGATGTAGCAACATTTACGCATGTTTTAAAAATGTCTTTTAATAAAATAAAAACAAAAACATCACTAATAAAAAAAAACTTTCTAGTCGTTATAATTGCGGTTTTTTAAAATTTTTTTAAAAAACAATAAAATTTAATGTACTTCCGCATTAATTTAATTGCTTTGACATTTCGACAACAATCAAATACAGCTTAAGAGATGAGGTAATTAAAATTGTAGTCATAAGAGACTTTTTTTACATTAAAACGCTCTTTCGACTACACTATATGGATATATATATATATATATATATATATATATATATATATATATATATATATATATATATATATATATATATATATATATATAAAATCTTGCATGGTAATCACAAAGTTTTTCCCATAAACTGTTGTTTTAAAGAGCGCCTTAATAAGCCTGACCAGAAAATGTTAAGAAGCTTCAAAAAAAAATTTTTTTTTTAAAATGATAGACTGCCTGCCCAAACCAAACCTATAGTCGATGTAGCAGCACTCCCTTGTGAGTCAGGCTATTTGTCAGTCGATGTAACAGCACTCTCTTGCGAGTCAGGCTATATGATAGTCGATGTAGCAACACTCCCTTGTAGCAGCAGGCTGTAAGATAGTCGATTTAGCAACACTTACGCATGTTTTAAAAATGTTTTTTTAATAAAACAAAACCAAAAACACCACTAATTAAAAAAAACTTTCTAGTCATTATTATTGCTGATTTTTTAAAAAACAATAAAATTTAATGTACTTCCGCATTAATTAAATTGCTTTGACATTTGGATGACAATCAAATACAGCTTAAGAGACAAGGTAATAAAAATTTTAGTCGAAAGAGACTTTTTTTACCATAAAAGTCTACACTATAAGGATATATATATCAACTACACTATAAGGATATATATATATATATATATATATATATATATATATATATATATATATATATATATATATATATATATATATATATATATATATATATATGCTAAATTTTACATCACTTAAAAAAATTATAGTTGATTGATTAAAACTTAACTAAAAAGTTAAATAAAAAAATCAAAAAATTAAATAACAAAAAAAACAATTTTAAATAATAAAATAGCTTTAAACATTTCAAATCCAATCCAATAAAATTTTATTTTTTGAGTATGATGATAATTTTTGTACCATAAATGAAAAATCAGAAGTTATTTGATATAAACTAATAAAGGTTCCAATTACCACCGGCCAATAATGAATAAAAAAATAACTTTTAATGTTTATTTCGATATATTTAATTCTTGATTTACAATAGATCTATTCTTCATTTTAATAGTTTCCTTAAGTAGATTAATTTTCTTTTTTTTTTGTGCAACTAATAGGACAGATTTTTTTTTTTTTTTTCAGTGATTGTAATAGTGACCAACATTATTTAAAAATAAATCTAGTCAAATTTGGGTTCTTATTCAAGATTTCAGGAAGTAAATATTCTGTAACTTAATATTATATTTTTATATACTCTTGTAACATAAAATTTTTTTTTATCTATTGAAAAAAATCTTCTATGAAAATATGTTTCCAATAAAAAATAAACCTTCTGAACTTGACCAAAATTCAGTAAAACCTACTACAAAAAGAAAGAAATCATATATTATATAATTTATATGAAATCTAAAATTCTACAAAAATATTTTTTCGGGTTGTTTTACTGTAAAAAAATGTAACGAACTTATTACAGAGCACTACAGTAAAGTGTTGAATGAACTTGACTTCCTCAATGTTTCTTTTTGGCTAGAGGAATCAAATCACAGACCTTTCTAAAGTCAGCACAATAACAATATTAATAGGATATAACACTACAGAATATTCATAAGAACACAAAAGACATGATCATTTATTTATCTTACCCTTATATATTACAACTGCAAGCAACTAAAATAAAGCAACTTACCACATGATTATCCATTTTATCGATATAAAGAGAGTATAGCTTAGCTGCTTCTATGTTTTGTCCACTACTTTCATGTAACCTAGAAAAATATTAAACAAAACTACTATGACATTTTTATTCTGAAAAGTCGAAAAAAAAATTGTGCTCAGTAAATTAATAAATATTTCAAATGTTGATTTGATAAATTTGACTTACTTTGCAAGTTTAATAGTAGCTTGACCTTCAGAATCTCCGAGTCGAACAGCTTTTAAATAACACTTAATAATAATAGTAATAATAACACTAATAATAATAGTAACAATAGCAATAATGATAAAAATAGTAATAGTAATAATAACATAATATTATTATTATTTATAACAATAATAATAGTTAAAAAAAAAAGAAAAGAATAATAACGATCAGGCTTGTGGTGCTGAAAGTTTTTTTAAGGCACAACTCCGGCTCCTAAGAAATGTCCAGCTCCGACTCGGCTTCTGGCTCGGCTCCAGCTCTGGTACTTTATGAACAAAAATCGCAAATTTTGGAATATTTTTTTGTTCTAAATTTTGGAGAATTTTAGTTCTAATTCTACCCAGTGAGCACAGTATCTAAAAAAGACATCTTTTTAATTTTCCAAAGATGTCCAAAACATTAAAAAGGCGTCTAAAATGTTCAAAAGACGTTTAAAAGACGTCTTTCTTACGTACAGTGCCGATTGGGTGGAAATGGAACCTAACAAAGACGTCTTTTGAACATTTAAAAGACTTCCAAAACATTCAAAAGATGTTCAAAACACTCCAAAGACATTTAAAAGATGTTTAAAAGTCATCTTACATTAATTTGTAAAATTGATTTTTAAAAGAATTCTTTGGATAAAAAAATTTAAAATTTAGTAAAATTTAAATTTTTTTAGGTAAAGTTAACTTGATTTTAATAAATTTACTAATTTAAAAACATATATATTTTTTTATATTTTAGATAATTTGCATTTTAAATGATTTTTATAATTTTTTCTTTTTGTTTATTTGATTCTGATATTTTTAATTTTATTGAGAAATAAAAAAGGCCTATAAAAATGTATATATAACTTTTTTATATACATTTTTATAGGTCTATAAGAATGATTTTACCTTAAATCATTCTTATAGACCTATATAAGAATGATTTATATAAACCAGTAAGATAAAACAAAAGTAAAAATCAGGGATGCATAGATTAAGAAATGATTATTAAAATGCAGAGTTCTAAAAGTACTCTAGTTTCCAGGAGTTTAAAAAGTACTCTAGTTTCCAGGAGTGTTGAGTAATTTGCAATAAGTTAAAAATTCATGAGATTTAATGACAAGAAACTTATAGCTTTTTGGCCTGAGGTCCTAGAGTCCTTTAAAATTTGATTGTTCCTCTAATTAAAATTCTTAATTTTTTTCACAAATGTAGTCCATAAGCCTCTTTACATTTTTGAAGCTCCTGGACACCAAAAACCAGGAAGATACTAAAATTTGGTGACTTTCAAAAGAGTTATTTTTGGGACTTTGCATTTATGGTAAAATTACACCCATTATTGTGTAAGTTTTTATAAGAGTTACCTATATTAAGAAGCCATCAAAAGTTTAGATACTAGATCTTTAAAAGTTAACTGAGATAAAGAGATAGACCTGCTTGATCATCTTTTTATCTAGAGATAAAGAGATGATCAAGCGATATAAAATCAAGTGATACAAAAAGTGCAATCAAGTAAAACAAGTGTATGTTATAAACATTATTCTGAATCTTTGGATTCCAAAGCAAGCAAAGATTTTTAATACAGCATGATATGCAGCATTAGAAAAACAACAAAGATTAACAATATAAAGAAAAACAACAAAGATTAACAATATAAAGAAAAACAACAAAGATTAACAATATAAAGAAAAACAACAAAGATTAACAATATAAAGAAAAACAACAAAGATTAACAATATAAAGAAAAACAACAAAGATTAACAATATAAAGAAAAACAACAAAGATTAACAATATAAAGAAAAACAACAAAGATTAACAATATAAAGAAAAACAACAAAGATTAACAATATAAAGTACAAGAAGAACACCATCATGTAAAGTCATGTAAATGTAAAGGTAGAGGCAAAATCAGGTATTAAACAAAATAAACAAAAAAGCTTCAGTAAAGAAAAGCAGATGTACTATATTACAAGGTAAATCTATGTGCAGTTATGATCAGGAAGATGTGCTATTGCAGGCTATAATATGACCACGCTAATAATATTTTGTTTTGACTGTGCTCTGAATAAAAAAGATTTTTAATTCTACATTAGAATTAAATAACAAAAAAGCTTAATCTTAATGCTTTAATAAAAAAAAAATAATAAAAATAAAAATATTAGCTAAATATAAAAGCAATAATAAAATTAATTTGCGTACTTTTTTGCATACTCAGAGATTATTAGAACCATCACCCTGTTTATTCATTTTAAAAGAAAAAATCTGGTTTTGATATCTACCTACTTTAAGAAAGAAAATTGTCTCTTTACTGCATTAGATGTGCAGATTTACCTAATTACTTGAGCGGTAAGGTATTCGATATCGAAAGGACTAGTCTTTTACTTGAATAAAAAAACTTTTTTTTTTTAATCTAGTTTTTTACTTGGATAAAAAGCAGTTTTTTTTTTGTTTTTTCATCTAGCTGATTTTTTCAAAATACTATAACATAGATATAAAAATTCAAAACAAAAGCATTTAAACAAAAAGACTTTCAATTGTTAAAAAGGTTTTTAAAATGTTATTATATTATACATACACAATCCTTAAATAAACGATCCACAAACTCAAAAAATGGAATTTTTACATTAAACGTAAATGACATATTGTTATCAATTTACATAAGTTACAAATTTAAATAAACTTCTTATACTCCTTTATATAAAAGTGCAGAGTTAATGGCTACGGTGAGTTTTGGGTCAAACACGCATAAATGGGTTTTAGCAGCATAAGATTTAATATTAAAATATTAAGATAAATTTTAAAGATAAATTATATAAGAATTTTTTACAAAAAAAATTATAAACAACTTTTTTAGACAAAAAAAAAAAAAAAAGTAAAAAAGTTTATGAACAACTTTTTTAGACAACGATAGAAATCTCTTTAATGAACTTTATAGAAATCTCTTTAATGAACTTTATAGAAATCTCTTTAATGAACTTTATAGAAATCTCTTTAATGAACTTTATAGAAATCTCTTTAATGAACTTTATAGAAATCTCTTTAATGAACTTTATAGAAATCTCTTTAATGAACTTTATAGAAATCTCTTTAATGAACTTTATAGAAATCTCTTTAATGAACTTTATAGAAATCTCTTTAATGAACTTTATAGAAATCTCTTTAATGAACTTTATTGAAATCTCTTTAATGAACTTTATATAAGAATCACAAGAAGTTGATACACTCTAAACGAATAAAAATTGCAGTTAAAAAAAAAGTTTTTGAAAGCTGCTAGAATTAAATAACTTTGATCTACAGATTTTTGAAACATTGAAACGCTTTCAAATTAAGTAACTAATTACTGCTAATGATTTTTTATAAAAAGTATTAATAAAAAATTATGTATACATTTTTTATACATATTATTTATAAATACTTTTTATATAATTATGTATTTGTTATGATAAATGTTTATCTATATAAATGTTTATAATCTTTGAAAAAAAAACATTTGTCTCTGAAATGAAATATTTATAAGAATTCAAAGTTTATTATTCTAAACATAATTAAAAACTTAATTTAAATCGGTTAGTTTTTTGAGTTTTATATTTGTTGAGCTTTGTTATTTTGTATTTTTATTAAAGTCTTTTTTTAATTCAATTTTATTTTCTCTTTCGTTAAGATTTCTATTCTTTTTTTAAATGCAAATTTTTTTCAAGTGTATTTTTGAAATTTCAAAACATAGCCGCTGTGGTCAATTCCTCAAAACAAGCTATTATTAGTGTGATCATATAATGGCGCATGATCAAACACCATCCTGATTAAGACTATATGTGATACATTAATGATAATGAAAATTATAATAAAAATAATTTTCATAAACAAAAATTTTGCTTTAAAAACCTTTCTTGCGTTGCTTTGCTTTTCAATGTTTTGATAAGTATCACCTAAAGCTATTAGCATTCGAGTGTCATTTGGCCTAAATAAAATAAAATTAATTTTTATTTAATTGTATCCCCAGAACTTTTATAAACATAGAACAAATAAGTATAAACCATTCCTTAAAAATTATAACAAATAAGTAAACATTTAAAACCCTTATTTATAAACTACAGAAAGATTTTTATAAACAACATCTTCCAATGTCGATAACATTTTTTTTAGTTTAAACTTAAAATAAACTATAGGCTGGGTGAATAAAAAAAAGCAAGAGCTTTTACTCAGTAATTGGTCAGCTTTACATGAAAATAGAATATCAGTAAACTTGGTTAGTTTTTTATTCACTTAAAGCTGAGTACTCAGCATTTCTTGAGTAAATTGCTTAACTTTACATGAATAAAATTTGTGGGATTTTGCACACATTTTTATTCATGTAAAGCGGAACAATTACTCTAAAAACGCTGAGTAAAATATACAGCCTACAGTTTATTACTAAATAAACGTTTCTTCTAAACAATAGCTATAATAAAATATGCATAAAAATAAAACAACATGTCGATTACAAACAGAACAACCTGTCACTTACAAATAGAGCAACTCGTCACTTACAAATAGAACAACCTGTCACTTACAAAAGTCAGATCAATAAATATTCAAATAAAGCATGATTTCTTGTCTTCTGAAAAATGACAACTTTTCCAAATCCAATTTTTTAAAACTCTAGAGGTTATTCTGACCCCTCTACCTACTATTCTGACCCCTCTTCCAACTATTCTGACCCCTCTTCCTACTATTCTGACCCCTCTTCCTACTATTCTGACCCCTCTACCTACTATTCTGACCCCTCTACCTACTATTCTGACGCCTCTTCCTACTATTCTGACCTCTCTTCCTACTATTCTGACCCCTCTACCTACTATTCTGACCCCTCTTCCTACTATTCTGACCTCTCTTTCTACTATTCTGACCTCTCTTCCTACTATTCTGACCCCTCTACCTACTATTCTGACCCCTCTTCCTACTATTCTGACCCCTCTTCCTACTATTCTGACCCCTCTACCTACTATTCTGACCCCTCTACCTACTATTCTGACCTCTCTTCCTACTATTCTGACCCCTTTACCTACTATTCTGACCCCTCTTCCTACTATTCTGACCCCTCTTCCTACTATTCTGACCCCTCTTCCTACTATTCTGACCTCTTATCCTACTATTCTGACCCCTCTACCTACTATTCTGACCTCTCTTCCTACTATTCTGACCCCTCTACCTACTATTCTGACCCCTCTAATTATTGTACAATTAGTTTTGCTTATTTTTATTTGCTAGGTTTTTGACGTATTAATTAAAAAACCTCTAATATCTAAACTGATTTTTAACAATTTACTCTCCGGAAATAAAGATTTTGATTGCCTCCTTTTACCTCTTTAACCATAAGATAAAAAAAGTGAGGTAAGGACTATTACTCAAAGACTTTTAATGTCTAACATGCTTTTAATAAAGTCTGACATGATGGTCTCTTCTATAAGCTCTCTGCATATAGCATATCTGAGAAATTAATAGAAAATAATAGAATCATTCTAGCCTCATAACAGTATTCAAGTTATACAAGATGGTCACCATTAACAACAACCTTTAGAATATCCTAAGATTCCATTCTTAATGGAATCTGCTTCCTGATAATCTTCTTAACAATCTTATCTCTAAAGTATCTCATCTCTAAAGTATCTCATCTCTGTTTGCTGATAACAAAACTATATAATTTTTTTTTAAATCAAGTTAAAATCTTTTTTTTTTATTGCTTAGAGACAGCTGACCATGATGCAGTCTCTCTTCTGTGACAGAACACAAAACTTATTAATTTACTGAGTTATTCATACCATGAATACATAGCCGTAAAGACTTATGTCATTCCATATTTACAGTAACGTGTCTCTATTTTTTGGACCAGTTAGTTAAAATTATTTTTATAGTAAAGAAGTAATCTTTAGTTATTTAGTTTTTTTTAGTTATTTAGTTTAGAATTATCATTATAACATAATATGTGTATTTTAAAACCTTGAAACCAATATTTACCTTAGTCTTTGCGCTTCACGAAAGTAGTATAATGAGTGTTTCGATAATTTGAGTAACTCGTATGCTTGTCCCAAGCCATACCAAGCACGATAGTCACGACAATTTACATCTAAGATAAAAATTTATGGCAATTTTCAGTTGAACAAAGATTTTGAATTAATCAAACAATAAAAAAAAAAAAACATTTATAGTGAGTTTATTAAAAACACAATGGCTTTTTAATGTAGTTTTTCCTTGTTTATTAATAAGTTCTTTTAAAAACTGGCACAATTTTTTAATAAAATTGTATTAAATGAAAATAGATTACATTAACCTAATGCAATTTAATATAAATAGTATAAAATACAAATAAAGACAATAATAAATGAATCATTATATCTAGTGATAGAATGAAATAAGAAATTCTGAAACCAAAATAAACTGAAATTAATTTCATTAGAAAATGTTATCAAAAAATGCAATTTTACAAGTTGTTTATTTAGATTTGTTTTTGTTTTTTTGACAACTTCCTTTCATCTTATATAATCTTCTATATAATAATGCCGAACTTAATAGTTTTAGTGTCCCTTAGAGTGTATTTGACACGAAACCCTTTGCAGCCATTGCAACCAAGGTAGTGGCGAGTGAGAGTTGCAGCACTTTGTTTTTTAAGAAAACGTGAACGAACGTGTATGCAAATTTCTAACGTATGTAAACTTTAAATTAAGTAATGTTAAAACATACTGAAACATTTGTCAAGTTTTACAGTTTGATTTTCACTTAAAAATTACATTGCGTCAAGTTCTCCTTAACTTTGATGTACAACATATCTTTCCGTGAAAAACGTCATTACATATTTTTAGAAAATTTTGTTTGATAACATGCCAGCGTAGCCGAGTGGATAGCGCGCTTTGCTTCTGAACAAGTAAGCCCTGGTTCGAGTCCTACCATTGAAAACTTTTTTTTTAAAATTTTTTCGACTATTTTAAAATACAAAATATTTTTGAAGTTTTATAGAGTGTTTATAAAAACGAACGAAAAGATTTTAAAAAAGATAATATTTTTAAAAACATTAAAACACCGGGAAGAAAAAAATTGTTGCGTATGTGTCATGATTTAGATACTTATGTTAATAACATGCTTAGGTAATTAGTCCTAATAAGCTGCAGATGGTCTGAAAAAGAAGTTTTCTAAAACTTAATAAAAAAAAAAAAAACTTTTTAAAATAGTTCTGCTACTCCAAAAAGTGCTGTAAGAAAATAAATTGAAAATTTATTTTGACAATAAATAGGTTTCTTTGCTACATTTATTTTTTTACAATAAATATGTGCTGCAGCTGTTTTTCAAAACGCCTTAATATGCTTATTACGTATTTCAAGAAAAACGCAATTAAAAAGAAAATTATTAAATGGTTAAGCGCAAACAATGTATATATAAACTCTTTGTAAAACGTTTTTTTAAAAAATATAATTTTAATGAATTTTTTCAGAACTTCTTGAAAATATGCATTCAATAACGTTTGTAGACAAAACCAAAAAAACAGCTAATTTTGAAAAAAAAATCAAAAATGATATTTTTTACCTTAAGGCGTTTTAAAAAACGGCTGCAGTATGGATGATACAACGAATATGTTGAAATGAGATAATTGTGCAAAATTTAAAATTTCTTAACAAAAGCCACTAAACCAAAAGAATTAAAAGTAATTGCAGCTCAGTGCTTAAAAATTTTAAGTATTGGTGTTGGCAAAGAAACATGATATAAACGAAGAAACATTATATAAATTATTTTTTAATAAAACTAACTTATATTAAACTTTGTTGAATAGACAGGTTTGGCGCCCAACCATCCCTATACAAACAATTTATATAAAAAAATATGTTATTTGTATATATATATTGTTTATAAAATGTAAAAAATCCACTTATAAAACGTTTTATTCAGGATCGATGGAACATAAGTAAACTTTTCTAATAATTACAAGTCTTTTTTACTCAAGCAGTTTTGTTTTGATGTTTAAGTAGGTTAAGTGAATAGTAGGTATGTTATATTTAAAATATATTAAATTTAAAATACATTATTTTAAAAAAAAATTGACATAATTGAAAAAATACAAAACATATTGACATCCAAATGAAAAATTTGAAACTCCAATTTTAGGTTTGTTAAAATTATGTCATTTTCTTATATCCGCCAAACCCGGTAATAAAAACAGCTTAACTTTAAGATTCAAAAATCAACGAATTTTTGTATTACAATATGTGCGCCAACTCTCAAACAACTAAAATAATGTCTTTACAGTTCATCTAATTAAATCCAGCAAATCCGGTAATAAAAACAGCTTTATAAAAAGATTTTAAAATTATCTGATTCTTGGATCATTGTATGAGCGCCAACTGTACTCTAAAACGACTGAAAATATGCCTGTTCCTTTTCATATATTGTTTATCAAGCTATAAGTAAGTTTCATTTCTTTCTATTAAAAGTTTATTTATCGTGTTCTTTTTAAAGGTCTAATCTTAATTCAGAATTAACATAACTATTGCTTTTGACAAAAGAATAAAGATTTCTATTTTATTTAAGAAATGAGTATTCAAAATAGAGAAGGTTTGAATATTCTTTTTATCTATTTAATAATACTAAAGTTAATAGTAGTAGTGCCCTTTCGGGCCTGTTTGATACAGACTTCTTGGCAGCCATTGCAATCGAGGTAATGGGGAAAGAGAGTTGCAACAGCTTTGTTTTATAAGAAAATGTGAACGAAAAATCTTTAAACGAAGGTGTATTTTGAACGAAACTGTATGTTTAGTGTATTTTTATTATGTATGTAAGATCAAATTTGGTAATAATAAATATGTAATATCATGTTTTACAGTTTTACTTGCATTGCGACAACATCTTTTTAATTTTGATCTGTTGCATTTATTTTTGTTTCATACAGTCTTTTGCTTTTTAAATAATTTAAAACTAAAGTTAAGTAAGCTGCAATATGGTCGAGCCTTTAGCGTGCCAACATACGGAGGTGAATATCTGAGTTAGAGTCCTATCGTTGGAATTCTTTTTTTTTTTTTTTTTAATTTTTCATTGATTTAATTTAAAATACAGAATAAAACACTTTTAAAAAAGAACTATGAAATTGTTTTGTTTTGCGTTTTAAAAAATAAAAAAAAAACCAAGCTTGCCACTCGGCTTCTAAACTTTTTTTTGAACAAAGTAAGGAGGTTTAAATAAAATGTTTTAATTAAGAACATGACTTGAAATTTTGATTTTATATAAAATAATTCATTTTTATCAACTTAATTATTTTAAAAAATAATAAAAGTTAAAATTACTTAATTTAGGATAATAAAGTAATTTAAAGTTTCATAGCTATTTTACAACGCCTCCGCTAAACATTCAAAACCAAGTGCTAAATGAGGAAACTTAGATAACTATGAAAATAGTACCTAACATATTTAATTAGGTAAATCTAGGCATCTAACACCGTAAAGTGACGATTTTCTTTCTAAATTTTTTTAGTGGTAAATTCAGAATTTTTCATTCCAAAAAAATATATGTGTTAATAGGCTTTAAGTATAAGGAAAAGATCCGTATGTAAACTTTCTTTTTGCTCATAATCTATTGTTCACAAAAGATATTAGGAGAAATATAGACAAAGTTAATGTGGAATAGTCTCTCTGTTTATGAGAAAAACAAACTATTTTATAAATTTCATAAGATCCACTTACATAAGATACTCTTATATGATCCGTATACAGAAAAGATGCGCATGTTAATTTTTTTTGCTAATTCTGTCTGAAACCGCGCTTAAAGAAATTTTTTAGAAATTTTTAAATTATTTTATTTTACCAAATAGTATTAGAGTTAGGAAATGATTTGTGTGGAATAAATTAGTATAGAAATTGTCGCTTTGGTATAAATCCATATTTTACTGGTTAGGAAAATTAGGATATACGCATAAAGAAAAAGAATAGAAAAAGTCAGTGTGGAATAGACTTACAAAGACCTGTGTTTTTACGGGTCCGGTCAGGTGAAACTTTTTACACGTTTCAAGCAGGTATTTAGACAGGTATCTAATTGGCGATTTACGCAACATAACGTTAGCGTAACATTTAAAGTTTATTAAGGTTAACTATAATAGAAATTTTTATTTTTCATTGTTTTAAGAAGGAAACAACAATGATAGTTTTTCTACATGTATATACCTTTTTTTCTTCAGCTCACTACAAAATATTAAAGTAAGGAATAAGTATAGAAAAAGGCGATGTGCAATAAATAAATAATTTATGTGAAACAATTTTGGAAAAAGGCGATGTGGAATAAATTTACCAAGACCCATCTTTTACGGGTCATGACAGCTAATATATTTATAAAATGAGAAAACTTTATAATTTTATTTTAAATTTTAGAAATCTTTTTGCTAAATTATTTTTTTTTTGTTATAAGTATATAAGCATTATTAAAAAAATGTCCAAGTTTATTACGCTGAAGAAAAGTCTTAAACCCCTAAAACAAAACTGATGACAGCGCACATAACTACTGAGCTATCAAATAAAATGCATTTAGTAGAAAAATAAATCTAATTATAAGTTTTTTATAAGCTCTATATATGCGGAAAAGGTGCACATGTTAAGTTTTTTACTCTTGAATGTTTTTTTTTAGAATAAATTGTTTTACTAAAAAATATTGAATTAAATAAGGAATAGATATATAATAATCAGTGCAGAAAAGATATGGATAGAAATGTTAGGCTTGGTTAAGGCCCGTATTTTACGGATCCGGAAAGCAAAGATGTATAGGGAAAAAGTAAAGAAAAGTTCGGTTTGGAATAGACTTACAAAGACCCGTATTTTTACGGGTCCGATGTCAGCTAGTAATAAAATAATAGTCATAAATAAATAATAAGAAATATAAAATTACTCATAGAAAAATCTATAAAAATAACTAAAAGGTTTTATCTACGAAATATTATCATTGTTCACTTTCTATTTAAACTATTTAAACCAAAGTTGTTTTCTCAAAACAAAACGCTATCAGGACAAAATAATTAAATTTTTTTTGTTTTGCTTTGTTTTTTATCATTATCAGAGAATAAAACAGTCTTATCACTACCAGTCACTATCAAATTTTATTATGTTTTCAGGTGTTACATTTTTTCTGTTATACTGTAAAATCTTTTAACAAATCAAATTTAAAAAACTAACAGTTATATACCTGTTGCGTGTCTGTATGCTTCAATAGCAGCTGATGTATTTTTTAACTCAATATACTCATGACCAAGAAGTGTCCATGCGGCAACATATTCTGGATTTAAACGCAATGATTGTTTAAAATAGAGAACTGCTTTATCATGATCACCTCGCAAACTGTAGTAATTACCTGCAATAACAAATAAAAATAAAAAATAATAAAAATGACAAAAAGTAACACAAAAAAATAAAAATGAAAAAGTAACAAAAAAAAAAAGAAACATTAAATAACCCTACTGTTTAAAACTCACCAACGACACCACATGTTTCTGCTCTATATTTATCCACTTCACAAGCACGATGGGCCAGATAACTAAGTTCCACTCTATCATCCTAACGCAGTAATTTTTAAAAATAAATTTATGCAATGTTTTTCATAACATATCAAGGAGTTATTTAAATAATATAAACATAAGAAAAAAAGTACAATAAATCAAACAATATATAAAATAAAAATACTTAAAATATAATTGAAGATAGTAAGGAAACTTATTGTTGTAAATTTGAAAATTATACATTTTTATTTTTAGGAAAGAAATTCTTTTTGACAGATCAGTAACATCTACTGATGAGTTTTTAAAAGGTAAACCATACTAATAACATTGATAGACACAAACAACACATAAAAGTAAACAAACTTATAGCAGTAAAATGACAAGTAGAACTGTTAGTGTTATTTCTATTATTTTCAGTTTTATTGCAAATGACACTTAATCTATTTCAAATCACAATGCTTGTGATTTGAAATGGATAAGAATACTTTTATCACAATGTGATTAATTTTATTGAATAACAAAAAAAAAAAAAAAAATTATGTCTGCTATAAATATGAATGACTGGAAATAAACCTTACGTTACCATGTATGTTGGCAAGTACAGGTTTCAAGTAAAGGTTGCAAAAATAAAATTATAACATTAATATAACTTTCCATTTAAACAAATCAAGTTATTTATAAGTGCAAGTTGCAAACACTGTTTTTTTATTAAAACAATATGTAGTAACAACAAAAAAAGCTTTGAGGTTAAGGACAAAAATCTGCCAGGACAGCCAAAAATATTCACATGGATGTAAAGAATGGGTAAAAAAAACTCACATGGATGTAAAGAATTATCAGTTATCAGTTAATTGTTTATCAGTTATCAAAAAAAAATATTATTAACAAATTAATTTCTGTAGCAGCACTCCGTTATATATTTATATCATATAAATTGTATTATCAACACTGTCGAAAACGGTCTATAATAGCCCCTGTATATATACACAGCCCTTGGAATTAGGGTTGTCATTTTGCTATGCGGACCTAACTGCCTACCTTAAGGTATTTAAGGTTAGTAAAATATTGTTGACCTCATTTATATGTTTTATGGTAGCCCCTTTGTATCAAATTGATTATCAGTTGTCAGTTAATTGATAATCAGTTAATTGATATATATAATTATTTATATATAATATAAAATTGTAAGCACAAAACTCACATAGATGTAAAGAAAAACTCACATGGATGTAAAGAATGTTGGAATAAGTATCAATATGATCTAACATATAAGGATCCATTGTTTGCAAACATTTAAAATGTTCTACAGATGCTTCAAAGTCTAAAGAAAAAAATTAGTCAAAAAATGTCGTTTTTTTTCTGTTTGTGTAAATACTAACAAACAGAAAAAAAACGATGGTTGATACAAGCTGAACTTTAAAATCACTTAATACTAAAGACTTAGTTTTGTAAATTACATAATTTTTTTGTAATTTTTTTTCCTATCAAAATAATAAAAACTTGAAAAACTAAACAATATGTAATAAATAAAATATAATACTAAAGTTATAAAAAAATATACTAATGTATTTATAATTTGCTAATTAATAAACTAATTAGTTTTTATTTATCTTTGTGTTTGCAATAATGAAATAAACTGACTGATTAAATGTGTTTTTTTTAAGGTATAGAAAGTAAATAAAAAAGAGAAAATTGTTATAAGAAAACACTACAAAAGGTTGTAAGTACATGATTGTAGCAGCCACGTACCAGCCACATAAACTCGATTCAGAAAGCAAATATTGTTAATTAGAATTTAAAAAACTACAGGAATTTCTTAGTGAAATAAATACATTCTTTTTAAAAAAATGCCATCAGTAATTATTTAATAAAATTTAAAATAATTTTAGTTTTTATTATTCTCCCTTAAATTTCTTGACATAATTTTCATTAAACTTACTACAACCCCTTTTTCTTTTTAAATTATAGTTTAGTTAACTTAGGCAACTTTTTGAAAAAGAAAAAAGTTACATTCACTTACTGAAGTTATTATTGTAACAAAGAATTTTTTTCTTAAAACATCGATTTTCTTTGAATACTTTAAAACTATTTTGTAATGATTAGTGATAATTTAAACAGTTTTTATTTATAATTTTTAATACGCTATCCTTAACATTCATCTGCATCACTTTTTTATTTTTTATTTTAGTAAACATATCTGTATTATTAATTTTATTTTATTTTATTAAACATATTTCTGCATCACTTTTTTATTTATTTAATATGTAGAGGAGAGTGGGGCACCATGACATATGGGGCACCATAAAATAAAGCAATTATACAGTGATATAAAAGTATTGTGACAAATCTTTTTGAATAATACAAAATACATACTACTAGATATATTGTTTAACGTATAATTCAAATCAGAACATGTCAATAATATTGTGAGAGGTTCAAATTTGTCTTTTTTCAGTTGCAAAGTAATTTATAAATTTTCAGAGTTGTTACGTTTTACAATGTTTTATTCACTGTATTCTTCGGAAAGTGCATCAATTGTGTAAACTATATTTCATGAGCTCTTCAGCATGGCAAACACATTTAATAAAATTATTTTTTGAAAAACAAAAACATCATCCATGAAACAGTTTTAGTGGGGCACCATGAAACTATATTAATGTACCATTTTGTAAATTACTTGATAGTCAAGCATACTATAATTAATTCCCGGCTGGAAATATTAACTTCTATACTATGATTCACCTAACATGGTAACATATTTGATGCACCATTAAATAAAGTTTATGTAGTAAACATAAATGTTATGTTATTCAGTATTTATACATGTAGTATGATGATGTACTTATATGTGATACCAAATCATGATATGACCATGAATTGAAGTTTTATACATTGTAAAGCCTTTGTGATTTTTTTTTTAATTTTTTTAGATTAGAATAAGAAGCTATGAAAGAAAATCTAGTAGAGAAACCTTCTTGTGTAATTCAATGAAGGTAGCTGTTGATTTAGTTTTAACAGGAGGGTATTCATTAAGAAATGCTGCAGAAAAATGAATCTTAATCACAGCACTTTTTGCAGGTAATTTATGCTAATGTATTCTGCACTAATAAGTATTTGTCCTATTTAGTAAATGAAATTCATATAAGTTTGTAACTAAAAGCAGATTCTGAATGTGTTTTAATGTATACAGATATGTTAAAAGAAAAAAAGGAATAAAAGAAGGAGAAATTATTACTATAAATCTATAAAATATGAACAATACTATGAACTATGATTTTTTATATATTTTTCAAAAATTTTCATTGAAATAATTAAATATGAACATTACTATGAAACTATGAACATTACTATGAAATAATATTTTTACAAGAATTTACTGAAGAGTAAAAAAATTTTTTGAAAAAATTTATTGTTCCTGCTCTTAAATGTGTTAATGACAGTCTGTTGTACATTTAAGATCTAATGTTATTGTTATTGCTTTTGATATGGCTATAATAAATAATAAAAAAGTTTCCAGTAATTGGATTAAAGAGAAGAAAGCTGGAATAGAATGGATGGGCTTGTTTTTAAAGCGGCTTATCTTTGTCAAGAATGACATCTCCCAATAATTACAATCTACAAAAGTTTTTTTACAAATTTAGTGGCATTTTAATTAAGAGAATTAAAATTTGGAGATGGATTTTGCATTTGGAATCTTGATGAAACAGCTACCACCACTGTACAAAAATGTATTAAAACCATTACTAAAAAAGGCATTCTCTGTGACAAGTGAAAAGTAACTCTGTGACAAGTGGAGAATGTGGAACTTTGGTAACAAGTTTTTTTGTTTTTGTTTGTTTGTTTGTTTTTGTTGTTTTTTGCCTCAGGTGCTACCATTCCACCTGCGATGATATTCCCAAGAAAAAAGTTCAAGCCATATTGCTTAATAATGTACAATCTATATCTCTTGATCTTGTGAATCCAACTGGATGAAGAGAATTAATTTGTAGAAGTAACTCAACATTTTATATTAAAAACGTTTTTGTCAAAAGAAAATCCATCTCTACTTTTATTTGATAATCACAAGAGCCACTTATCTATAAAAGCTCTTGATGTAAATCATCCTGGAGTACCGACTTTTTGTGTTAACATTACATATGAAAAAGGTTTTACACAAACAACAAGTGGATTTAGGAAAAGTGGAATATTTCCTTTTGACAAGAATGTTTTTTCAGAAGCAGATTTTTTATGTATTATTGTTATTGATAGAAACAATCCAAATACATGTCAAACAAACACTGGAAAAACACTGAACACCAAAAATGTGTTACTCTCACCAGAAAAGCTTTTTGTCACTTCTGAACCAAGTACAAGTCAAGCCAATAATTCTGAAATTATTAACTTTGTAAGCCTTTCTCAGTTTAAAGGATTTCAAAAGGCTGCTAAAAGAAAAAAAAAAAGAAAACCTTGTGAAAAAGCTAACAGTATAAGAGCAACAGATAACAACAAAAACTATGTTAAAAGGAAAAGAAAAGAAAAAGAAGATTAAGAAACAACTGTTTTTTTTTTTCATTGAAAAAAAATTAAAATCTTTTCTCTGAAAGTGATAAACATGATTCCTATTCTTAATTTTAAAAATTTAAAAAAAAGCTGTTTTTTAAAACTCTAAGTTTTTTATATAAATTTTTTGTATTGTTTTTCTATATTTTATAAACTTTTTATTATATTGTTTCATGGTGCCCCATAGACTGTTTCAAGGTACCCCATTGGTGGGGCACCTTGATACAAAATTTGAATTTTACTTAATAAGTTTTTACAAGTTTGACCTCTTATATTTTGTTAATTTAAGAATTTAATTTTGAAGGTATGATGTTTATCTACAAATTGCACTATATGCTAAAAAAAACATGTTTAAAAAAGAGTTACAAAAGAAAAATCAAAAGTGTAGCATGGTGCCCTCTCTCCCCTTAATCAGTTAAACTATCAATAAATTCAACACATTTTCAAATGATGCTATTGGTAAATTTAGAAATTTAATTTTTTATCAATGTAAAAAATAGAAAAACTATGGTCTTCATTTTTTTATACTCAAGTTTTTGTTACAATGACTACGTTATAATGACTACAACAACACCCCCCCTCCCTCTCTACAAAATAGTGCCTTAAAAAATGTAAAGATAATTTCTAAACATAAGTTATGCACAACTTATTTACAAGGGTATATAAGTTGTGCTTAACTTATGTTAAAACTCAAGTAAAAATCACACTAAAATCTATTAGCTAATTCTTTAGTACATATTAAAAATGATTTAAATATTTCGGATACTTTTCTTAAAAAAATTAGCCAGAATACTTTGTACACTGCCTCAGCTTGTGAAGCAGCTTTTAGCTTTATAGCTTTATTAGCTGTTTAGCTTATACAATTTTTGTTTATAAATTTGTAAGTATGTAAAATCTAAAGAAATTTGTTAGTCTACTATAGTTATTTTTGATTGCTATGGCATAACATACTTTATTGTATACATTTTTTTTGCATACAGGGTAACGTCGAATATCATTTAAAGTAATCCCACAACAAATTGTCAGAAACATGAAACAATTTAAAGATTCCTTTTATCATACATATATAATGTATGATAGTATTATGTTACACAATTAATATATCATGTGTATAAACAGTAAGTCAAATACAAACATACATACACACAATTTTTCTAGCTATAGTTATGTGTGCATGTATGTACATACATACATACATACATACATACATACATAAATATAAATATATATATATATATATATATATATATATATATATATATATATATATATATATATATATATATATATATATATATAAATATATACACATATATATATATATATATATATATATAAATATATATATATATATATATATATATAAATATATATATATATATAAATATATATATATATATAAATATATATATATACATATATATATATATATATATATATATATATATATATATATATATATATATATATATATATATATAAATATATATATATATATATATATAAATATATATATATAAATATAAATATATATATATATATATATATATATATATATATATATAAATATATATATATATATATATATATATAAATATATACATATATATACATACATATACATACATACATAAATATATATATATATATATATATATATATATATATACATATATATATATATATATATATATATATATATATATATAATATATATATATATATATATATATATATATATATATATATATATATATATATATATATATATATATATATATATATACAGTTAAATCCTGTTATTTATATATATATATATATATATATATATATATACATATATATATATATATATATATATATATATATATATATATATATAATATATACACAGTTAAATCCTGAAAACTCGAATCTCCAAGGGACCAAGAAAAATGGTTCGACCTAACGAATGTTCGACTGATGCGAAGTCTTGTTAAGTCGAACTTTGACAGAAATGAGATATTAGTTCGAGTTAAGGCGATTTTTATTTATTTAATGCTAAAGTGTAAACATTAAATATACACTGTTATAGTAATAAAAAGTTCAGTGAAAGAAGCTACGTATATCCCGTTGTATTAACTTCTCTTATAATTCTTTTTTCCACAATTAAGTTTATTTGGTTTATACATTTATGAATACACTCCCCATTGTCACTGAATATAATGAAGCTTTGTAGGGCTTGACATCACCGAATTAAGGGCAAGTTAGTTCAATCAAAAAATCTACATCACTATCTTCATCTTTTTCATACTCAAAATTTTCTTCTCCTAAAACGTCTGGTATAACCTCCTCATCATTTATTATCAGCTCGGCAGTGTTAACAAAATCATCTATGGACACAACATCTTTTGCTGTTGTTCCTTCAGGGAAGAACTCGGATTAATGAACAGCAAGCTTTTCTAACTGGTCTTTGAGATCCTTATCTCAAGAGATCATCCACATCTACCAAGGCGTCAAAACACATTTTCTCTGAAATTCCAGCTTTAGCAAACCAATTGCAAATAGTTTCAGTCTTCACCTTCTCCCAATCAACATCAAGCCTTTGCATGGCATCCATTATTGTAAATTCCGGAAGATGCTTTTTTTTTTCTTTTAAATCTTTTAATTTTTGAACAGATAGTGTTCTATAATGAGCTTTAAGTGACCTAATCACGCCCTGGTCTGTCGGCTGGAGCTTTGAGGTAGTGTTTGGTGGTAAAAAGATTAGTTCTATTGACTCGAAATTATCAACTATTGGATAAGCTGGACAATAATCAACTTATAAAACAATTTTTAGTCCTTCCTTCGTAAATTGCCAATCAATTTCACGAACTCATTCCTTGAATAGTGTGCCACCTATCCAACTTTTCATCTGACTGAGATAACGGCAGGACAAATGGTTTACATTTTTAAAGTATCTGGGCAATTTAACTTTGCTATTAACAAACATTGGCAAATTTTCCCCTAATGCATTAGTGGATGCCAACCCTGTAAGACATATTTCTGTGTTTCTAACCGACACATTTTTCATTTTTTAAATGTAAAGATTTATTTGGTTAGAGCTGATAAAACAAGCTAAATTTGTTAGCATTATAAATCTGGTTCAACTTATATTTTGATAAAATGGTTGGTAATGTGTTTTCCTCCCATGGTGCTATCATTTCACTTTTCATGCATTACCTTCACCAGAAACTGTTTTAAATGATATGTTGTATTGTTTCTTCCAACGGTCTAACCAACCATTTAAACCATCTTAGTGTTTATTCTTTCAGCAAACTCAATGGCTTTAGTTTTGAGAATTAAAGCAGAGACAGTGACATCTCCTGTACGAACAATCAGAAGCCATTTGAAAATGGCTTGATCCATATTTGCAAATGACCCTTTTGTATTCAACTTTCGCTTACTTGCAATTGTCGCCATATTACAAACTTTCAAAGTTTAAAAAGCATGTATTCACTGAGTTTAAAAAGCAAGTATTCACGCTGTACACTTAAAAGATAATATTCAAAAAACTTTAGTAAAAAAATGCAGCACAATCTCTTCCTTAAATTATTTTATGTTTTATATGGAATGACTTCTACAGAAAAAAAAAAAAATTTAATCAAGTTATTTTTATTTCATTATTTCCTATACAAAAAGTTCGAGTTATCCAAGAAATTTGCCGAAAGGGGACAATAAAATGGTTTGACTTATACAAAGTTCGAGCTATCCAATGTTTGACTTGACCAAAGAATTTTAATTATAATCATTTAGACAACTTCAAGGGATCAAATGAAAAAGTTCAAGTTAACCGGTGTCCGACTTACCGGGAATTAACTGTATATATATATATATATATATATATATATATATATATATATATATATATATATATATATATATATATATATATCCTTATAGTGTAGTCGAAAGAGACTTTTATGGTAAAAAAAGTCTCTTTCGACTACAGTTTTTTTACCTGTCGAAATGTCAAAGTAATTAAATTAATGCGGAAGTACATTAAATTTTATTGTTTTTAAAAAAAACCGCAATAATAATGACTAGAAAGTTTTTTTTAATTAGTGGTGTTTTTGTTTTTGCTTTATTAAAAAACATTTTTAAAACATGCGTAAGTGTTGCTACATCGACTATCTTATAGCCTGCTGGTACAAGGGAGTGTTGCTACATCGACTATCTTATAGCCTGACTCGCAATGGAGTGCTGGTACATCGACTGACAAATACCTTACTCGCAAAGGAGTGCTGCTACATCGACTGACAAATAGCCTGACTCGCAAGGGAGTGCTACTACATCAACTGACAAATAGCCTGACTCGCATGGGATTGCTGCTACATCGACTGAGGGTTTGATTTGGGCAAAAACTTTGTGACTACCATGCAAGACTATATATATATATATATATATATATATATATATATATATATATATATATATATATATATATATATATATATATATATATATGTATATATATATATATATATATATATATATATATATATATATATATATATATATATATATATATATATATATACACACATTTATATGCGTATATATACATGTGTATGTGTGTCTGTAAGTGTAAACATTTTTTTGCAACAGACTAATAAATTTTCAATATATAAAAGAGTATGTTATATAATACATTTGTTTGTAATTACATTCAATATTGTGTTAATTAAATTTGTTGAAAGGATTGTTATTCATCTTTAAACTTGTTTTTTGCTTTTTTAGCATTTCATAGCTGTATTATAGCACATTTATACAAAAACAATTTGATACAAGACACTATGCAAATTATATTAAGTGCCAATTTTTAAATGTTATGGTAATTATAATGTGGTTAACCATACAAAAAACTATCAGATATTTACTAGGTGCAAGTTGCTACTTTAAATAATAAGGTTAAAAAACTTAATCCAAAAACACATGGAAAATACATAGTTTTTACAAATATGCAAAAAATTTGTCAAATCTCTGGTCAAATGGTCCCTGGTTATGTTCATAAAACTTCCTATGAATAAAAAGAGCCGAAAGTGGACCACCTAATGTACAGTATGTGAAAGTGAACGTGGAACTAATGTACAGTATAATTAAAGTCAGGAAAGATTGATTCCACTTGTTTTTTTGACTGGTCATTGTTTTTGTCAAACTGCAGTATCTTAAGTTTCTATTAGTTATAAACTAAGCAATCATTAAAGATACTATCAAAAATATCTTTAACAGTTAACTCATTTATTGCGACCACTTGATGTTGTATTTTATGGAGTAATTGATCAATCAAAATCTCTAGTTCAAAAAAAGCACAGACAATTAAAAAATATATCTCTCTTTGTTATTAACTTTACTTTGTTATTAACTTTACTTTGTTATTAACTTTGTTATTAACTTACTTATAACACACCCATTAAAACAAAAAAACCCAAATGGGTTTTTGTTTGGGTTTTCATAACAAAAACCCAAATGGGTTTTTGTTATAAAATAATATTATATTATTTTAGTAATAATAAATTCAGGTGAAACTAGACTGTTGTTTTTATTAAGTATTAAAACAAAACGATGTTATTGAATTGGATAACTTTGAACCTATTTAAAGTTACCTCATTTGTGGGGTAACTTTAAATGACTAATTAAATTTATATTATATAGATTCCTTTCATTTTAATACATTTTTGAATTTGAATTATGTAAGAGTCAACCTATATGCATTTTATCAAACTTTAACTATTGTTCATATTAAAGGAAGAGCATATAAAAATATATAAAAAACATTCAAAAAATTCAAAAAAAGGTTTCCTGTAGAAATCTAATTTTAGACAAATGTCAAAAAACATTTGTGAATGTCATTTCTGTTTAAATAAATACCTCTTAAATTATAAAGTGCAGTTGCAATCTGTGATTTAATATATGTACTGTTCTCAAATCCTTCTAAACTAATTTTTTGGTAGCGCGAGAGTGCTTCTTCATTCATATGCAATTCCATTTCCGCATAAGCATAAAAAAATTCACACATCCAATGCTTCGGCAGCTTAAGGTCTTTAAGCTAGAAAAAATTATTTCAAGAGGAAAAATTATTTCAATGCAATAATTAAAAAACACAAAATTTAATTTTAATAAATTAATTAATTTTTATAAATTAAAAAATGATAATAATGATAAATAACTTAAATTAAATTAAAAAATTATTTAACTATTATTATTAATATATATTAGATATAAATATAATGATTAAAATAAAATATAAATATGTTATTTTTGACAAATATAAACAATATAATTCATAGAAAAACAAATAATTTATTTTGCAAATGATTGTATAAAAACAGTTTTTAAGAAAAGCTATAAACATAATGATTAAGCATTTACTATCTGTCTGTCTTCACAAAGGTCAGCAAGCTCTTGCCAAGCGCACCACAGCATAGGCTGCATTTGAACAGCACATTCAAAGCTCTCTGATGCTTCTTTGAAAAGAGATATTCTTTTCAAAACTACTCCATTTCTAGTGACATCAATTTATTTCTAAAAAAGCTATCGTAACAACATCTACATAAAAATTCATAACCATAATAAACATAATCCACAAAACTCTATAAACTTACAAGTAGAAGCCAAAAGCATCTAAACTGTCTTCATGTTTCTTTAAATCATTTTTGAGCAACACAAGTTCTTCAAAGTCATCTGTATCAACATACTTTTCATCTTAAAAAAAAAACTCAGCTTTATTAAAATAAATATTCAAACAATTTTATTAATGCAAGGTATACTTAACTTATATTCTTTATGTGTACTTAGCTTATTTACTTACACTTGTGCTTATTTACACCACTTTTTATTGAGAAGGAAAGTTTTTAAATCAATTCTTGGCGAAGAAAAACATTATTTATACTAATCATAGAATTGGCTAGAACTCTATTCAAAAAAACTGGAAAAACATTTGATTGAAATTATAAGTATACAATTTATGAAGAACTAATAAAACCAAAATAAAAAATAATAAGAATATACTAGTTGAAGCAGCATAACATTACACAAACATGTTTGCTACAACATTTTAGTCACAGCAGTGCACTAAATGACATGTTATTTATGAAAAATCTTTACGTTAAAAAAAGCAATCCGGCTAAAGTTTCAAATCCAGATAAATAAAAGATAATTTATTTTTGAACCAAAGATGGTTTAATTATAAAAACATTTATGTTTTAAGTGATACTAACTGACAACCCTCCTATTTTTTTACCCCTAGTTTTCTTTAATTGATTGCAGTTATTGAAAATAAATTTAGTTTTGTTAAGCCACCATTTTGTTCGAATTAAGGCAACTGGTTTCCCAAATTGAAACAGCTTGCTTCTTTTAAAAAAATACTTAGTAAAATCAACAGAAATTAATTTAAAATTATTTTTATCTTTACAGTGACAATTTAAACATTTTATTCAAAACTTAAAATTAAAATTGCCCAGCTATAATAAATTTCTTCAAATAATGTATTGTGCAAAAGCTTTAACTATTAGGATGTGCTTTTATTTTATTAATCAAAAATCACTAAATTGAGTTTTTATGTTTTATGATTGTAACAAATTATTTTTAAATTGTGCTTTAAACAATTTCTTCTTTTGATCGCTGATTAGATAAGAAAAACTTTATAGTTCCGATCAAGAAAACATTATAGTATATGTTTATACTATATATAAGACTAGAATGTTTCTGAAAACATTCTAGTCTAATACTTGCAAGGAGTGCTGCTACCTTGACAGATAAATAGGTAGAACATGTGAGAAGTGTTGCTATATCAACTGACAAATAGATAGAACATATATATATATATATATATATATATATATATATATATATATATATATATATATATATATATATATATATATATATATATATATACATATACAGCGTGCAAATTTCAGCATTTTTGGCCACGGCAAACTAATGATGAGAACTTGACTCCAAAAGTGCCATTTACCTCTGCAAACATTTTTAAAACTGAATTAAAGTTTTGTGTTTTTAATAAATTATTTTCTTATAATTTCAAGAATGAAATTGAATGAGAAATGGTTTTTATTACACAATATTATATTTGGTTTACTGGTTATGATTTTTTTTTAATTTTTTTTTCATAAGAATATCGCCCTCCTTTCTAAAAGTTATTTGATATTTTTTTTTACCACCTTTATATTAGTTAATGATTATAAAAATTAAAAAGAAAAATGGTGTGCCGATCTGTAGATGGCATATGCCAAGTTCATTAAGATATAAAGAAGAAGAAAAGATATCATTAAGATATAAAGAAGACGTTCAAAAAATTTTTTTTTATTATTATTATTACTCTTATTTTCCTCTTTGTAAAAAACTGAAAAGCAGAAAATTCAACATAAAATTAAAGTGTGTTTGTGTATATTTATTACAACACCCAATCCACAGAAACATATTAGGTATATAAGTTTATATATATACTATTAGAAATATAAGTGTGTGAATATATGTATGTAAACTATAAAATAATTAATAAATTAACAAAAATATTACAAATATAAATAAGAATACCTAAAACATCAACCATTTTGTATCTTTTTTGCTTTTCAAACTCCTTTAAAACAAAAAAAAAATTTGAAATTAAAAAAAAAATTATTATCATTTTTAAAATTTTAAAAAGCAGCCGTGGCGCAGTGGTAGCGCACTTGTTTCAGAAACGTAAGATCTGTGGTTCAAACCCCACCTCTGGACAAGTTTTGCGACATCGGTTGGGAAGGAGGCGTGAACTTCCTATTAAATGCTCTTCCGCGGTGCTCTGTGATAAGACCGTAAGGACTTCTTGGGGCACCTAAATCAACATTAAAAAAAAAAAATGCCATGTATTAATGTTTCCTGCAATCCCCTTTTTGTGAATTAGGGCAATACTAAAAATGTTGGCAATACTAATAATATAAATACTTTTATAATAGCAAAATGCTTTTAAACGAAGCGATGACTCATTGATTATTTACAAAAAGAAAATTTAAATTTTATTTTACTTTTTAAAAATTTAAGTTATATTAAAAATTATATAAAGTTTACTAAACTATATAAGTATAGATTAATTTTTGATTATTTAGAAAATATGCATTTTTAATTTTTTAAAACTTAAAAAATTTTTTAAAGTATGTATTTTAAGTCTTTTAAAATAGTTTATTTTTATAAAATTGATTTTATAAAAACAATACTTTCAACCCTCAATATAGTTGGCAAATCAGTAAAACTTAAATTGAAATTTTTTATAAAAACCTTATCTTTGACAATTTATAGTTTAGGTTTTAAATGAAATGAAATAAATAAACTTTTTTTAATACAAATACTTCTTCTTGTGTTTTAAAAAAGTTTCTAAAAAATTTTTTTTTTTTGTTTATACTGAATTTAAGACATAAAGTCTCTTTTTAAACATCTTTGGGATTTTGCTCAGTCAGTTTGTTACAAATTGTTTTAAATAAACTTAAAATTTTTTTTAATTTGAACGTGATTATATATTGAAAGAGTTAGAACTTTTACAAACTGTTAAAACCCATAAATTTTATAAAAAAATTTGTTTTTCTCACCAGAAGTTATGATGTCCTCTTCTTAATAAGTAAAACAACATAAAATTATATGCTGGTAGTTATAGCTTTTTTTCTCTACTTCCTTGAGAAATATTTCATTTTTTAATAGTCTTTACATTAATTAAATTAATTCCAGCATCGAGCAAAGTTCACACTTAAAAATAGAATTCAAGAACTTGAGATTTCACAGGTCTGGAAATTAAAACTAAATGCACAAATTCTTTTCTTTTTTTAGTTAACCTATTTTTGTAAATGTATCCCCCCGTTTAAGTTTTTATTTTTGCACATTTTTGAAATATATATATATATATATATATATATATATATATATATATATATATATATATATATATATATATATATATATATATATATATATATAGTAGTACCCTGGTAGTACCGCGCTCAACTTGTTTCTTCGCGCAGCGGCCTCGTTTGTCAAGGTTCGTGTTTCGGTGTTGTAGAGTTGAGAGAGGGTTGTTACCACAAATAAGTAGCCTCTTTGTCTGTAGTGCCCTTCTCGGCCTTGAGGAGGTGAATTAAAATAAATAAATAAATAAATATATATATATATATATATATATATATATATATATATATATATATATATATATATATATATATATATACACTTACTAAAGCGTGTTTTGATAAGCATTTGCTCACTTTTTCTGCTTACCTTAAGCTATACCGTTTTTTTTGAAAAAGAAGACGAAAAAACGAAGAATGATGAATGAGGCTATTTGTCAGTTGATGTATGTACTGAAGCTCCCAGCAGCAGGCTATTTCAGTATGACGCCAGATTGCTTACCATAGTGCGCAATACTATTTGTATATATATATATATATATATATATATATATATATATATATATATATATATATATATATATACACACATATATATATATATATATATACACAAATAGTATTGCGTACTATGGTAAGCAATCTGGATTCAGGCTGGAATGGAAGCTTTTATTCCTTCGCGTCGGTTTCAAGTCAAGCCTCATTCTACTCCATGGTTTTCTCCTTCTTGTGCGGCTGCTATATCCAATCGTAATCATTTTTTTCATCTTTTTCAAAAGAACAACTCTCTTGAGAACAAATGGCTATTTATTATTGCAAGAAATCGATGTAAAAAGGTGTTTTCTGATGCTAAACTCCATTATTCTCAGTTCACTAAATCTCGCATCTTGTCGCAGAAGTTAGGCTCTAAAGACTTTTGGAAAATCTTCAACAGCATTATTAACAAGGGTAGATCTAACATTCCATCTCTCATTCATGGCACTGATCTTATTACCTCTCCCAAGGATAAGGCAGAACTATTTGCATAGAACTTTTCTTCTAATTCCACTCTTGAATCTTATGGACATTCTCTTCCTTCCATTCCAGTCAAACAGGTTGATCCATTGTTAGACATTCAAATCACTCCGGCTTCTGTTGTTAAAGTCATATCTCAATTAAACTCGTCTACAGCTTGTGGTCCAGACAACATTTCTGTCACAGTCTTGCAGAATTGTTCTCCAGAACTTTCTTCAATTCTCTCTAAACTATTTAACAAGTGTTTGACTGAGTCTTGTTTTCCTGCTTGTTGGAAAATGGCATCTGTGGTTCCAATATTCAAAAACTCTGGAGAAAATTCTGACCCCTCCAATTATCGTCCGATCAGTCTTCTTTCTGTTATTAGCAAGGTCTTTGAATCTTTGATCAACAAATTCCTCACATCTCATCTTGAGTCAAATAAACTAGTGTCAGACAATCAATACGACAATCAATCCTCTCGTTCTACGGCCGACTTGCTAACTGCTGTAACTGAAAGATTTTATTGTGCATTAGATGGAGGCGGTGAGGCTAGGGCTATTGCTCTCGACATATCTAAAGCTTTCAACAAAGTTTGGCATGCTGGTCTTCTCCATAAGCTTGCTTCATATGGTGTTTCTGGGAAAGTTTTTGAGATTTTCAAATCATTTCTTACTAACCGGTTTATTAAAGTCATCCTTGAAGGCCAACACTCTTCTTTATTTCCAGTAACTTCTGGGGTTCCCCAAGGTTCCATCCTGGGCCCTGTTTTGTTTCTTATCTACATAAACGATCTTCCTGACAACCTTTCATCTGAAGTAGCTCTTTTTGCTGATGACTCAACTTTATACTCCTGCCTTGACAAAAAGTCTTCTCTTTTCGATCGCCTAGAACAAGCAGCTGATCTTGAATCCGATCTCACTTCAGTAATAGATTGGGGTTCACAGTGGCTTGTGAATTTCAACCCTAACAAAACCCAGTTGTTTACTGCAAACAACTACCGTAATATGATCAACATTCCTATATTAATAAATGGCAATCCTCTTACTGAGTCCTCCTCTTTAGGTCTTCTTGGATTATTGCTTACTACTGACCTTTCATGGAAACCATATATACAATCGATTACTAAATTAGCTTCTGCTAAGGTTGCTTTCCTTTATCGTGCTTGCCATTTCCTTACTTCTGATTCCATTCTCTACCTCTACAAATCTCTTATTCGTCCCTGTATGGAATACTGTTGTCATATTTGGGCTGGTTCTTCTAACAATTCACTTTCTCTTCCTTACAGCAATGGGAGAAAGGCTTAAGTTTAACAGATAGAGCAGATCTAACTGCATTACAATACATTTTTAGACCTTGTCTATAAAAGAATAAGCGTCAATTGAAAAACCAACCCAAATACGACAACAGTATTACATACAGGGGCGAATTAGAGATTTTTGAGGTAGAGAATGGAAGTAATGGAGTAAGAAAATGGCAAGTACAATAAAGAGAAGAAACTTGCAAATGCTAACTTTGCAACTGATTGTATACATGGTTTCCATGAGGGGTAGTGAACCAATAGAGCCACTTTAGATGTAACATTATTAGGTATAAATTAATATAATATTACACTTTAGATGTAATATTATATTAATTTAGATTAGAAACAAAACAGGACCAAGGATAGAACTTCAGGGTACCACAGAAGTTACTGAAAATAAAGAAAAGTCTTGGCTTTCAAAGATGACTTTGATAAAGCGGTAAGAAAGAAATGATTTGATAATCTCAAAATCTTTTCCAGATACACTATATGAAGCAATCTTATGGAGAAGACCAGCATGCTAAAGTTTATCAAAAGTTATAGATATATCAAGTTTAGTGAATCTGAATGTCTAACAATAGGTTAATGTGTTTAACTGGAATAGCAGGAAGAGTATGGCCATAAGATTCAAGAGTTGAATTAGAAGAAAAGTTGCAAATAGGTCAGCCTTATCCTTGGAAGAGGTCAGATGTTACAAGATCACTCCCATGAATAAATGATGTAATGTTAGATTTTCCGAAAGTCTCTAGTGCCCAACTTCTGAGATAAAATACTAGATTTGGTAAACTGGGAATAATGGAGCTTAACATCAGACAGCACCTTTTTAAATTGATTTCATATTATTGATACATATATTAATACATATGCAATATGCTACAGAAATCATCATGCTAAAAATTTATCATTTGACAATTTATCATAAGGCAATATTATTTTCATTAAGTTTGTTAATTACTTTTAAGAAGATCATTTCCATTCTTTTAATAAAACTTTGAGTAACTTCTCCTTAATCAGTGCCATCTTCACCTTCGGTCAAGGCTACAGCAAAAGTTGAGGCCATTTTAAAATCAAAAAACTTTTTTTAGAAGCTCCTTTTTCATTCAGGACCTATTTTATTCTATGAAAGTTATGTTAAGTCAAAGATACGTTGTAACTATCTTTTAAAAGCCTGACTTGAAAAACATGAGTTAAATATGCAGCAATACAAAAAAAAAAGGTTACTTATTTCATTATGCAATTTTCTAGACCTTAAACTGACATTACCATAAAAAGGAAATAATAATCAGCACTGCTAGAGGCCAGTTTTTTTATAAATCCCAGGGTGTCAGTTATCAGTTAAAGATGCCTCTGTCTCAAATATGTTATTTTTTAAAGTTTTTTTTATAATAATTTGACATAATCATCAGAAGTTTGAATTAAAAAAGTAAACTTAATGAAAAATATTTGAAAAAGCTATTTGTATTACCATTTGTCCATTTACTCATTCCAATAACATTTACTAATTCCAAGGGCTGCATTGATGAAGGAGCAATATGGGTTGCAAGGGCTTCAGTACATATATAGACTGAGGGTTTGGGGTTGCACAGGTATTATTTAGATCAGAAAGGACTTTAAAGAAGAACTTATTTTTTTCATAATTCTTTATTTTTTCTTAAAAATCTTGTGTTATTCTAATACTTATTTACTAAATCTTTTTATTTTTATTATTATAGAAACTTTAAATTTATTTTACTATAAATCAACAGCAAGTTAGAGCATCAACAACAACAACTAAAAATCTTACATACCATATATCGAGAGTAGTAGTATAAAAAAATAGCTGGCTGACTTGTACAACTTTTTAAATGACTTGCAGCCCGAGAAAACTCTTTACATTCAAAACATGCTTTCCCATATAAATATTTATCATACTCTGTCAGCAAAACTTGATTTTCTGTAAACATAAATGAACAGTCCAATGGCTCTTCTACAAGTAAAACTGAGGCAAGCTCAGAGGACCTATAATACATATTCATATTAGATTAGGTAAATTCTATATTCTATAATCCTAAATTCTATAATTTTATTAATATTTCAAAAGAATTTTTTTTAAAAGAAATTTAAGTAATCCTACCATTTCATATTTTGTGTTAGGCATCGCAAAGAACACTCATATGCATTACTAAGAAGACTTTTTTTCATAGTGGCCAGTGTTGGAAACATTCTCTTCAATTTTAAACTTTATATTACTAAAAAAAAATTAAATTAAAAAATAACAATAAAATGTAAGCATGGCTTAGCAACATAGCAAGAGCCGAAACTAATGTTACTACAATTATAATTTAAAACTAGGAATAATTGTAAACTGCAATAAGTTAGCTATGCAAATTTTAATCACTTACATTTTGATATCAAATAATTGATATATTAATTATTTTTATCATCTTAGGTTGTAAAGCTTGTATAAAATATTTAACAAAAATTGTATAAATTAAAAATTAACTTAATTAAGCAATAATTTGAAAATAATAAAATATTTTTTGAAATTGTGTCTCAGAGTTTAAAGTATCTTAGATCATGTTTTGTAGCTTGATTGCGTAGCTAAAACTGTTTTAAACTCATATGCTGCCTTTGGTTTGAAGAATTGAAACATTTAGCATCCTCTAATAAGCATACAAAAGATCTAGAGTATTAATAAGTAACTTAGAAACTCTTTTAAATAAAAAATAAACATTCTTGAAACTGTTTAAAAATTAAGCCATACATTTGTCCCTTGTGCTTGATCAACAGCTTATTATTTTAGAAAGCAGACTAACAGCCAGAGGCTGTTAGTCTGCTTTTTAAAATAATAAGTTTGAGTATTGAAAATTTACTTTTGGTTAATAGAGAGAAGAAGTCAAAATAAAGATTAATATAGTGTTGGAAGGATCTTTTTATATATCTTTTCTAGGCTATAGCTTACATTGGTATATAGCTTGCATTGGTAACTTTATTAATTACAGAGATACAATTGAATCAGTTGGTGGGGTGAAAAAGGCATCAAGAGTAAAAGTGAACCTTGTAGTAGCAAAAGTGAAAAGTGAACCTAGACCACATTAAACATAAAAAAATAGTCTCCAACTTTAACAGCACAAAGTACATTGTTTAGGAATTAGGAAAATTTATAGAAAAAAAAGTTATATACAGGTATCTAGAGTATTATGCTGAATGACAGTAAAAAATGGACAAGGAACTCCAATAACATCTTTTCTGCAAAGAACAACAAAAAAAAGATAATTAAAAGATATATGGTGTAAATCCAAACAATAAGAATAGAAGCAAGGAACTTAGATTAAGAATAAACATAGATAGATTGTAGGTATGTTACAAAAAAATTTAAAACATTTAAAAACTTAAATTAAATATAATATATTAAAGAGTGAAAAAATCGCATAATAATTCTTTTGAAATTTTTAAAAATCAATATAAATTTAAAAAGTTATTAGTGTTTTTTGTGTCTTAAAAAACACCTATTTTTGGTCGCAAAAGGTAATTGCGACCAAAAATAGGTGTAATAATTGCAGTGCCGACAAATAATTCTAAGATTAATAGCCGGCAGGATAATTTAAAATATATAGTTTAAAACTGATTGCTATTATAAGCTTACGTAGCTCAGTCGATATGATAAATTCATTTGAGCGACGACCCGAGTTCCATACTGCCAACTTGTTTTTCTTTTTTCGTGAAAATTAATGTTTTATTTCAAACATCACTAATTTTTATTAGTATTACCCATTATTAGTGTTTATTAATTTTTGTTTATTAATAATTACCATTTATTACATTTTAGTTTAACAGGTGCCTAAAGGGTTCATACATCAACTGATATAGCCTTAGGTGAAGCAATGTATGCTTACGACTGATTTAGGAATAAGCGCAGCAAAGTCTAAATACAAAGACTGACTTGAGTAGGGATGGACAAACAGAAATGTACATACCACCGACTGACTTTGATAGGGTTAGACCTGTATAGAGTGTACATAGATTGACTGAGAGTTTAAGTTTGTGCAGGCAGTATATAATTAAAAAAAAAGGCTTCGTTTTTTTAATACTGGCGTAAAAAAAGTTATAAAAGTAAATTAAATAAATAAATTAATATTTAATAAATACATAATTTAAATTGTTTTTCTAGCAACAAAGCTAACAAACTAACCAAATTACTGTATTTATTACATTAAAATTGCTTCTTTACACGCGCTGCCGGTAGTTAATCTCAGAATAGACCTTTTCGTAATTGAGCGGCAATTATGAATCACGTGACCTAATGTTTTTCTCGGGAGGGCAAAATTATAAACAAACTTGGCAAAACGCTTTATCTTTTTATTGTTTGTTTAAATATCTAAAAATAGTTTATCTGGAAATATATCATTGAAAATTGTATTTTACCATGCCACTTGAAAAATATGAAGATTTTTTGAATTTATCTGTCAAAAAGCTTGTTAGTTTTTTAACTGTTCGTGGGCTAAGTACTACTGGACGCAAAGTCGAGCTTGTTGCTAGAGCATTTACTGCAATGGAATTAAATATAGATGTTATAGAGACAGCAGAAGAACAGGAAAAAAAACTTAAGCAATCTTATACGGACAAGCTAAAAGCTCTAGATCTAATTGACCCAAACTCTGTTCCAATGGAAAATAGAAAAGACTTAGTATCTGAGTGGCCTAGTATAACAATGGGAAATATTTTTTCATATATTCTTAATAAAAAATATTTTGATTCGGAATATATTGGCAAATATAAGGACCAAAAAGCATTTTCATTTTTCGATAGTGGTTTTGTAGGCCCAATAATGCACTTCAGGTTTAAAAAAGATGTTTTATTCGCATATTCTGAAGTGTGTGGTTCGCAAAAAATTCACAAAAAAAGAAAGCTTTGGATTGCCTTTTGTAATAATGATATTCTTTCTGCTTGGTGTTCGTGTATGGCTGGAGCTTTTGAAGTTTGCAATCATGTTATTGCCACCCTTTATAAAATGGAATATGCTAATAACAAAGGTTGGTGTAATCCAACATGCACAGAACAAGCTTGTGTCTGGAATAAGTCTTCTAGAAAAGATATAAAACCATGCTTAATAACTGACCTAGTTGTTAGAAAAAAAATTGCAAATAATGAAAAAAATGATAATAATAAGGAAAACACAAGGATGAAAGCATTGCAAGAATTCGATCCAAGAATCGAAAGTCATCGTGAATTTAATGAACATTCATTTGAAACTTTTTTAAACAACATTCATATATCCGAGCCTTCTGCTGTAATATTTAAATCAAAAATTAAAAAATCTGATGAAAATTTTGTAAGTAATCCTGATCTTGAAAAGCTATCATTTGAAATACTTTTAGACCATCCTAACGTTGATGAGTCAACATTAGGGAAAATATTATTAGAAAAAATGGTTTTAACACATGAAACAATTAAAAACGTGGAATATAACACAAGAGATCAAGCTAAAAGCAATACCTGGTTTCAAATGAGAAAGGGGAGGATAACTGCATCCAAACATCACAGAATATATACCAAAGTTAATACTCTTTCTAGAAATACAAGTTCTAAGAAGCCTAAAACAACTCCTCTTGTTGCTGAGATTTTATACCCTCATAAAAAAACATTTGTTACTGCTTCTATCAAATGGGGAATTGATCATTAGCAAGATGCTATAAAAAAATTTTATGCAGAGCATGTATCAAATCACACTGATTTAAAAATTGAAAAAAGTGGTCTCTTTATTTTGTATGATAGACCTTACATTGCTTGCTCCCCAGATGGATTTATGGTATGCAAATGTCATGGTAGAATGTGTTTAGAAATTAAATGTCCTTTTAAAATTTTTAATAAAACAATCAAAGAAGGAGCTAGTGAATGTAATTTCTTTACAATAAAAAATGATCAAATAACATTAAATAAGTGTCATAAATATTACACACAGATTAATTCCCAAATGGCAATTACAAATTGCAAGTCAGCATATTTTATTGTTTGGACGCTTAAGGACTTATATGTTGAAATAATCGAATTTGATCAAGAGCTCTGGGATACGGTGAAAACAAATTTAGATATTTTTTTCAAAACATATGTTTCTCCAGCATTATTACTAATAAAACCTATAACATTCTGTGGAAAATGCGATAAACTTATACTCGAAGATCCAGAAATCAATGTTAAAGAATTTAATGAATTTAGCAGTATTCAATGTGAAGTATGTTGCGCTTGGTTTCACTGTTCATGTCAAAATTTAAAAAAAGAAGACTATGAGTTAATAGCAGATCTAGACTGGGTTTGTTGCATGTGCTCAATGTCTAGTTTATGTTTAGCTTAAATCTTCAATGGATATTTTATTAAGAGTTGTAGATAAATATGGTGTTTTTTTATTTACATTTTTTTAAATTCTTTCTGCATTTTCAAAAGATTTTCAAAAAAAAGTCTTTGTTTGGGGCTGGTTTGGTTTAAAAAAAAAACTACTAATTTTTTACACATCTTTCAAACCCTAGTTGATATAAACTCATGTTATAATAATAACCTAAAGTTTGGACAGTGGAACATTATATTATACAATTAAAAAAACTATTTAGTAAACTAAATTTGTTTAATGAACTATTTAGAAACTAATGGTTTTCTCAAGTTTGATATAGCAGCACATACGCGTAGTATATTATTCATGATAGGTAGGTATAGTAATGGCTGTGTTATTTTTAAAATACGGAAATGTTTAATCCTTTTTATTGCTTGCTCCACATAAATACGTACATTAGCAATGTTTGATGTTTCTCGAACTTCTTCTTTTGACATTTGAATTCCTTTAACAGCACTTGGAGGTATACAAAGAGTACACTGTTTATATGCAAGGTCTGTCCTTATTTTAAAGCCACGATCTGCCATAACTTGGTCATAGGGCTCAAGTATATCTAGAAAACCACTATTTCTGACAATAAAAATGTCAGAGGCACGTCCACCATAAAGGGGAGACAGCCATGAAATGGCTCCATTCGGAGTTATTGCTATTAAGAATTTGACTGTTGCATGATGTTTATAGTCACTCCACATACAAGCTTGAACATCAAGAGCACTTGATGTTTCAAAAAATATTTCAGAACAATCTATAATTGTTCTCACTTTTGGATATAATTGCTTAAAACAGTTTGGCATAGTTGCTCGAATTGTATTCCGGCTAGGCCACAAAATTAGGCTGTCCAACTCTTTAGATAACAATATTACCCATG